AGAACTTTCAATTAACCAATCCAGTTTAATGAATGGCCGTGGTGGCAAAGCCTAAAAAGTACGTAATTACCGCCGAGTTAAATTTACCAAGAGGAATTAACATCCATTTACTTTTTTCTCTCAGTTTTTTCCTCTCCCAATCTCATCTGCAGTGTAAATATTTTTTTTAATAAATTATTTTGGATCATGATTTAATTAATCCAGAGTAATTTGCGTGTTGGTTAACATATTCTAGTTTCGTTGAAACAAACTAGTTTATTGTTAGTGATCTTTGGGTTTAAAACCAGTTTTGCAAATCTTCTGCCACAAAGTATACTAAAACGGCACTATGATCCTCATATTGGTTGTCTGCATAAAGTCTGGAGTCTGCCACAGAGGTATATTACAGTAGTGTCGCATCGCACCACGAAGAAATTAGTTGCTGAAAACTATGTAGTAGTGATCGAGTAGAATTTAATTAGTTCGTTGAATGAGATTTGATTAAAAAGGGAGTCAACGCAACGGTAGTGTGTTTATGAAAGTCGATATTATCAATAAGTCGCTAATGGTATAAAATTTATCATTCCCAATACGGTCTTCATCTTGAATAAGCCTCTGGAAATGACATGCAATTAATTCTGATACACAATTTATCATATTTACCTGTTTCTAGCAGCAAATCATCTGTGAAAACCCATAAACAAAAGCTAGAATCGGTTGGAGTAAGATGAGTGGTCATCTTTGTCAAAGTTTTCAGCTTGTCATTGGCGAATTAATTAATTACCCAAGGGATTAATGAAGAGCGGCATTATTTATGAGGATAAGTGTGGTAAAAAGCTGATTCCACCTGACGTACGTGCTGTAAATCATAAATATGTATTCAGACGAACAAAACAAAGCCACAATCTGAAAAGGACGTGAGCTATCGACGCCGACTTCATAAAATATACGCAGTGAAGTTGGCAAATGAATTATGGGTGAGAGCAAAGTAGTGGAGAGAAGGAACGCGCCGACTACTCCGTTCTTATGTATAACTTCAGAATGCACAAAAACTAATCATGTAATATGAGCGGCAGCCTCTTGAATAAAAGATATTTTATAGTCTCCGACAAAACTGCTATATTGAAGTCCGACTCTAATAAGTCTGCTGTATGTGTTATGCGCTTAGAAATGGCTTACTTACTTCGGCCTCTTCAGAGATATATTGCAAAATATTGCACTTTTATGGGACCCTTTCGCCTCTTCTGCCTCACCAAATAATACATTATTAATTTTGAGGCCGCTTTGTTTTCGCCACCTGATTCCAACGCGAGGCACACACTCAATTAAATATAAAAACGCCACCGTCAGGGAACATTTTTCCGAGGAAATGCCGAATTTTCCGAACCACATTCTGCGGTTAATGATTATGTTTATGCTTCTCGGGCGGTCATTTACTCTCGTTAAGGACGTAGCAGCTATATAACTCTTGATAGCAATCCAATCAAACTGATCTGTTTATATGTGTCTAGAGTCCGGCACCGAAATAAAAGACCTTGACGACATGCACTTCACCATCTGGCATTGATCTCTGTTCTTAAACTTTTTTTTATAAATTTTATAAAAATTAACTCACAAAACAAGTTTTATGTGAGAAAAACACTGTGTATCTGCAACAATGTTGCAAAAGAACCATTTGCAGTTAGTAAAATCAGATAGTTCTACTCGACACAAACAAAACTTCCAGTTTGCTGAATAATTCAGAAAGAACAACTGAAATTTGTAAAATTTACGAACATTCTTAGGTAGTTTAAAAATGATAACTTTGTTATGGCGAAGTAAAAACAATGGTTCCGCATTTTGTCAATATCAATTATTATCTGTGACAGAGATGTTAAAAAACATTTTGTTCGTAATGGATTTAGTAGAAGAATTCAAACACAATGAGTGTTAGACGCGTGACATGAGAAAAATGAAAAAGTGCCTATTCAGTGCCACTTAAAGTTAGTGGAAAAAAGTTCTTTTGAGGATTATTTTTTCTTGGATATCGATTGTCGGTAAATTTTAATCTCACTAAAAATACTAGCAATAAATAAAAGTTTGTGGGAGGAGAAAACTTGAGATGATAGAATATGGCCCGGCGCCTCCACCAAAAGTAAACTCAACAATTCCTGTTTTTTTTGCTCGAAACATTAACTTTTAACTCAAAAAAACCGGACATCTGTAGCATGTCATAAACTGCCGGCCTGCAGTCGAATTAATGGATTAAAAAGGCTTAGAGGAACTTTGGTTGTCGAAACCTTTTAAATTTTGGAGAAAACAATTTAAAAAATTAGCATAATTTGACAACCAAAGTTCCTCTAAGCCTTTTTAACCCACTTATTTATAATTATTAGTCCGAATTACTGTTTTATTGACTTGAACAACTATAACATTTTATAATTATAAATATATACAGGTGGGTAAATTTACCCACCTGTACTAGTGAAAGAAGTACAACTACCAATTCCTGTCAGTCCAATCGAAACCTATTTACAATTTTTAAAGCACACCAATCTATCATTCAATTTCTCATAATTTATTTCCAAACTATCGAAAATCCAGAACTTAGGAAATTTTAGATAATTTACTTGATTCATTTTCTTTTGAGTTTATTTAGTTTGAGGATGTAAATTGACCAACAATCAGAATCAAGTTCTATAGACTTTTCTTTTCTAATTATTTTCCTTTTGTTACTTCGAGAGACAACAAACACAACTTAGGGCAAAAAGGGGAAAATTTTGGCGTCCACGATTTCGGGGGGCCAACCATTTGGAAAATTCGTACCAGGCCCCCTTTTCACAAAATATTACAATACCTTATTATTTAATCTAAATGTGATTGTGAATAACATAGAATACAAATCTCGCGCTCTCTCTATATTTTTCCACTGGGTTGTGTTATACTATTGAATACTAAATTGTTGAATTTGAAATTTAGAGATTTTTTTTCTTATTTCGTTGATGTTTCCAGCATCATCAATATCTTCTGTAGAAAAATAGAAAAGTTAAAACAGATTTCTATAGAACCCAACTAAGGAATGTTTTCCTTTTTATTGACAAATTGTTATTTTTTTTGGCTTTTGTTTTATACAGGGTTATGATAAAATAAAGCATAAAAGGCCTACAGTCTTCATTTTTGAAACAAGTGTAATCATATGTCAAAATGTTATTGCAAATTGTAAGCTATGATTTTGCTATTTTGGTAAACACTTTTTTTCTACGCTATAAAAATATAGTTAATATAGAGGTTACATTACAAAAAAGTGTTAATAATAACTATTAAATAAACTAAACAATACATTAAAGGAAGAATTTATTCTAAATTATTCTTGCATTTTTTTTAAAAATAAACACTAGAACATATGATTTCGTGCTTTATTTTATGATATAACTATTACTTACTAGTAACTAACAGATAAAATAACACTCCATTTCTGTGTTTAATTTAAAAATTAATATTAAAATGTGATTCTTACGAGTAAGGTGATTTTAAAAAGTGGATCAGATATAATAATTAGTTATTTATTAAACAAGACGATAAAGAAATTTATCGACGAGTGAAAAGGTTAAGTTTACGAGTGACGCAGTCACGAGTGGGCTTTTTTTCACGAGTAGATAAACAATCTTTATCGTTGTGTATAATATTTCGTTTTATTTTGTACTCATCTACCAGAATTTCTTCGAATATAAACAGTAGATAAAAATTACTTTATTTCACTAGACGATAAAAGACTACTATATCTACTGAAATTAGTTGATAAAAACACTCTTTAACATTGAGTACAAAATAATAGTTATTTATTTATTTATTTTATACTAGACGATAAAATTGTATTTTTTTTTTGAGAGCGGTTTTTACATTTGAGAAGATAATTAAATTTATTTTGTGCACTCAATGTTCAAGATTGCTTTTATCAACTAATTTCAGTAGATAAAGTAGTCTTTTATTGTGTAGTGAAATAATAATTATTTATTATACAAGACGATAAAGAAATTGATTTTCTACGAGTAAAAAGGTTAAGTTTACTAGTGACGAAGTAACGAGTGGACTTTTTTCACGAGTAGATAAACAGGCTTTATCGTCGTGTATAATATTTCGTTTTATTTTGTACTCACCTACGAGAGTTTCATGAATATAAACAGTAGATAAAAATTACTTTATTGCACTAGACGATAAAAGACTATTTTATCTACTGAAATTAGTTGATAAAAGCACTCTTTAACATTGAGTACAAAATAAAGTAATTTTTATCTACTCCACTTTGAGCAGTGTATTCAACAGCCAAACAAAAGAAATTCTGGTAGGTGAGTACAAAATAAAACGAAATATTATACACGACGATAAATATTGTTTATCTACTCGTGAAAAAAGTCTACTCGTGACTTCGTCATTCTTAAACTTAACCTTTTCACCCATAGATAAACAATTTCTTTATCGTCTTATAAAATAAATAACTATTTATCGTCGTGTATAATCTTTGTTTTTCTATAGTGTTTGTGTATTTTATTACATATTAAAAAAATTGTAAAATTTGTAAAAAAGTAATCGTATCAGAGGTTTAAAAATCTCGATAGTATGAGTGTTGTTGGGTTTTTTTCGTTTATTTATTTTGTTTTATTTATTTTGTTATAATAGTGTAACAAAAAATGAATTGCTTTATCTTTCCCTTTCTGTACTTACATTTGCGGTTAAAATGTTACTTGATCTTTTGATTTAAATAGATTAAAGCACACTTTAACATCTGCTACATAACATATAATTTTTGTCGTTGTTTTTTTTTTGTTCAGAATTTTGGTATTTAGCAATTGGCAGCAACGAAAAAGTTCCCTGGATAGTAATCAGCTTGTGACAACTCAGTCCGTGATTATTCCTTTCGGTCCCTTTGTTGAAAAATTTCATCAGAAACTTTTTTCATTAAATCGCCCGAAAAAATCAACACTATATTGCCGCAATTAAGTGTCATATTGTGTTCTTTTAAGTGGAAGTTTCTTTTGTTTCAGAATCATCGTCGTTGAAATCGGTGAGGATCCGAGTGCCGGAAGTAGTCAAATCTGGTGAAACGGTGACGTTATCGTGCGAATACGATCTCGAAGAGGTAGCTCTGTACACAATCAAATGGTATTGGAAAGATGTCGAGTTCTACCGTTTCGTCCCTAAAGAGTCTCCACCGTTTCGGGCGTTCACAATGAAATACATTAACGTCGATGTGAGTCGAATTTATTAATTATCTCAAATTATCGAAACAAAAACGCTCGATGTGGACGCTTTATGTTTGTTTTGTTTGGCTTGAGTATTTCGGGGGAAATGTTGAAATTGGAATTGCCATAGTTACAGTATGGCGGAATCAGCTCGAAGATGAGCTTGCCGGCAATAAAAGTTAAGTAGCGTAGATTTAGGGATTGTAATAAGTGCTTCTGTACACACACGAGCTTGCGACAGGTAATATTCTTGCAACCAATTTTAGACCCCACAATAACAAAGATCGCAATATGGAGGAAACCGATTCCAACTTTCACCATTTCAACATTTAAAAAACATATCGCTAATATTTTACGCAACATAACAAACCAGTTTCCTTTAGTGTTTTCCTCAAAATACTGAATACCCCACCTGTCTTTTTTGGTCAATAATACATATACGAGCTGATTCACGTGAGTTGACGAGATTAATTCTACAAATGTGTATCTTTTATTGCATTTTTGTAAGGCTTGTCGTTTTATTTGAATTATTCTGTTAAAAAATAATAAAAATATTTTACATTTAAAAATCTTTGCAATTATATTTTTTTATTTCGGTGTTAGAATAAGTCTATTCCAGCACCCAAATGACGTCATTTGCGAATAAGTCGTTCGCCGTAATTTAATTTTAGTGACGGACTTTCTTCACAATTCATTTTCAAATGTGAAAATAAGAATAATTTTTATTTTTTACAGCCGCCTAAAATTATTCCACACATAAATGTCGCCAACCGTCGCAAAATTCTCTAGAAAAAAAATTTAATTCTCGTTTTTTAATTTATAAAATGATATAAAGCAGCGAAATAGAAAAAATAGTATAAAGCACTTGTTGCAGAAGGTTCTTCAAGCACTCATTTGTTTCAAATTTGTGCTTGAATAGATACCTTCTGCAACTTGTACTTTAATATACTATTCTGATCAAAGTTTCATGTGATTCTAAACACTGAATAAAATAAAAATATGAAATTAGACAAGTTCACACTTCATTTTGATCGCAAGTTTTAGGTGGGAGAGCCTGTAGTCGAGTTCATTTTGTGCTTCGATTTTTTATTTAGAGTGTGTTGAAAGGCCCCGCAATTATATTAGAGAATTTACGCCCCGCATAAATAAGTGTGTGGTGAAATTTATAAAGTCATAAATATACAGAAGGCCTTTTGTGTGCGTCCCGCCGCGCCGCTGCCGTGTGTGCTGGAAATCCCTAAGAGAGGCACAATTGTGCCAAATGAGAAACAATGATAAAAAGAAATACTGTTTTAGGCCACGTCCGGAAATTCAGCTCATTTTCCCTTACGAGATGCTTTTCGAAATAAAAGTCAAATTAGAGAACGGTACCGAATTTTGACTACCTTCGTTAAATAAAGCTTTGAGTATTACACAACAGCGTCTGTTTTAAATGTGATTATTGTTGGTTTAGAGGAAATCTAGCGCTAGTTTCTTGAGATGTAGTTCACTAATATGATAGTAATACGACAGCTGACACACTTGCTGCACCCATCAGGACGAAACACGTACTTAAACGTGACTTGAACCAAAAGAAGTTTTGTTTTATTTGTATTAGTCGAGGCGAAATGATGCCACGTGTCTGAAAATTAAGACAATGACATTTTATCTAATATATATTTGTGCTTTTAACCTCAACAAAGCAGGGACGCCATTTGTTTTGAGAAAAATATACAACTTTTGTTACGACCAGAACGAAATTTTCAACTAATACAGCCGGATGAAATTATTGTAATTTGACAGTTTATACGAAATAAATTTGGAACTTTGTACATACCAGATATTAGATTTATGAATTGTTACCGGCATTTACAAATTTGCGTTGTGATTTTATGCTAATTATTTTCCTTAAATCTAAATAATTTAGAAAAAATTTTAAGTGATTCTTTAGACTCGATATTTTTTGTGTTGCGGATTTACCATACAGCATTCTTGAATAAATCTATTTTGACTTCATCCAATATTTTTTGCGAGATAATTTTTAAATTAAATAAATCAGTGTATCTACCAAGTCATGAAAACAAAAGATAACCTTTCTTTTAGAAAGCAAAGTCAACAAAGAATTATATTAAATTACAGTCTCTTTACACTCCATTTAAACTTCTTCGTGAACGACATATATGTAAGACATTCTGTAAGATCCTTATTATAATGACGCCCTGTATTTAATGAAGTGTAAACTGAACCGCTGAAAGTTAACAATTTATTTTTTATAGATAGATTTAATACATTTTAGTTTAGACAAGGCGTTTTTCGAGAATATAAGCTTCCAAAGAACAAGCATTTTTTTTTTAATAACTGCAGAGTTATATGGGAAATTATGTACGGAGATTTTTCTCAATATAAATGTAAAACGTGTATAGCAGTAAATACTTACAAAACATTTTAGAAAAGCTTTAGTTTCATTATCAGGTTACCAACCAAAATAAGCTTTTCCAGCTGAACGCTGAAGTAGCTTGCCTCAATAATTGCTTTAATGTTCAACAAAAAAACATACACGTAAAGTCTGTTTTTTTTAATGGAAATGCCAAACAGTCTTAACGTTGGCATCACTAGTAAATTCATTCATGATAATTTTAATAAAGGAAGTTGGCAGTTCCGGTTTTTTGAATTAATTTGAAAACAATGTCATTAAACGTCAACACAAAAAATCGTCTAATTTAGAGACGAAACACCAAAAAACAAACAAATTCGGTACACTAACAGTTTTTCGAAATTTGGAAACGAATAGTTCGCAAGCAGGAAGTTAGAAAAAGGGCCTGTTAAAATGTAGACGCAATTTGTAATGCAGGTTTGCTAAATATTCTTAATCTTTAGCAAGAAATCGACAAGAATACAAAATAAACATGAATGAGAAAAAACCTCGGAAAGAACGCAATTAAATTAGTGTCTTGTGCATCGTTTTTTGAGGAACGAGTTGAAAAAGTAACAATTTTGAAACTAAAGCTGAAGAAGAATTTATAAAATGCATCAACTCATTTCAATCAATTACACAAAATTTATTGCCTATCATCATAATACCTACTTGTATCTTTTGCTAAATAACTTTTTTCTGTATATACATCCTTTTTCTTCAAAGTTTTTGTAGCAAGAATCTCATTTTTGTCCACAACATTGTACTTACTTGCGGTGTGTTTCTGTCAAAACTATTAGCACTGAATTCTGTCTTTAGACCTTAGGTAATGATGTCTGTCCTCAGGTATTCAATTATAGCACTTTCAAAGAGCAAACAGGCACACAAGATTCATAAATGTCAAAATTTTAACAACATCTCAATTAGAACACAACCATAATTTTTTAACAAATTTCTAGGGACAAAAACAAGGAGCAAACAAAATGTGTGGCTTTGGAGACAAGCTGCTACCAATTTTTTCACCAAAATTTTGACTTGGTAATTTCCATTAAAAAAAAACAGACTTTACACAATCAGTCTTTCTTTAAATCAATATTTTCGTAGAAGTATTTAAATAATTTGCTCGTCGTTTGTGGAATATATCTGTTGGCGTATTGGCAAACTTTATCGACGTTTGCATACATCCATTCAGTGATGGCTAAACTTGTATTATCCCAAAGATATTGCTCTTCGTATTTTGACAGACAAGCCGCACAAATCACTAAAATTCCACAATAAATCGGTTCCCTCCGATCTCATAAATAAGGGCCTATCTTGTTCTTCTTTTCCAGATATCCCGTTCCGGCCCGACACAGGTAACCCTCCGTGGGGTGCGTCGTGAGCTAACCGGCGACTACAAGTGCGAAGTCTCCGCCGACGGCCCTCTATTTCACACCGATATCAAAGTGGCACACATGATAGTCGCAGGTCAGATGTTTTATTTCCAGGCTATGCGAGATCATTCTAATAAACGAGTCATCTTCCAGAGCTGCCCAACGGTAATCCCATGATGAATATCGAACAGACCAAGGTGGAGATTGGGAAGAAGATAAAAGCAGATTGCTACTCGCCGGGGTCCGATCCCCCCGCCAATCTTACCTGGTTTATCAACGACGAACAGGTATAAAAACTTACTATCAAGAAATAAATCCAGGGAAAATGCGTTCAGCTGGTTTAAACAGCGATTTATCAAGATTTCAAGAGATGCTTGATGAACTTTGTATTTATTCAAGCGAGGGGAGTTACAAGTGTTTTATTCATTAACGGTTCTTTGATTAAATCGCGTCGATTTGGTTGTATTGTGATGGAAGTCTTAGTTCGCGAATCTGCAGATGATCTGAGATGTTTATCCTCGTAGGATTAGTTATTACTCTCTCGGACAGTGGTGTACCTATCAATATTTACAAATACAATCAAAAGGTTTTATTACAAATTTAGAAACTTTAAAAAATTAATATTCCAGTTTCGTTAAATTAAAGAGTTTTGATCTTTTTATTGCTATTGAGATTTTTTAATCATTTAAATACCACCATTTTAAATAAAAAACTTGATTGGAAAAGATATTTATAAATATAAATAGCTTGACTGTTGTTGAAAAATGTGTTTAGATTTTGTGATAAATATAGATGTTTTTAGTGAACTTTTATGTGACATAAAACTTATTAACAAGGAAAAGTTGTTAAAAAAAATAACCAAATAGTGAACGATTTTATTTTATTGTGTCAAAAAAGGTGGATGCGTCGGGATAGTGTTTCTCCGTCGTCGCCACTGTTTCGTTCTGAGCTTGACACTTTTCGTAATTTGTGAGTTGTAGGGTAGTAAATCATCAATGTTGCACTATCACAATAATCCTTGCACCAACGCTATGTTTTTCTCTGACATTTACAATTGCTCAGTCATGTAACAATAATCGATTTACGACGCTTACCGACATGTCCAATTTATATATGAGACGTTTGAGAGCGTCTCAAGCATCGCAATACAAGACGTTCCAATATTTTAATATCTCGACTTTGTAAATTTTCTCTTTTGAAATTAATTTCAGGTTGTTGAAGAGACCGACAGTGTGAAACTCTTCCCCCTCGAAATTGAAACTGATGAAGCTTTGGGATTACATTCTGCCAAATCACGAATAGAGATAACGACAAACAGGGCACATTTCATTTTGGGGTTTATGGTAGTAAAATGTGACGCGAAAATTTATTCACTCTGGCATAGGGTTGTTGAAGATCATGTCAGAGACGATACGCCCCAATTAGCACCGGTTTTGGGATCGACGTCGTCGCAGAGTCAAGTTGACGAGATAATAGGTAATTCTTGAATTGTAATGCGTTTAGGGAGTATTTCAGATTTAAATCGCTTTCATTGGGGGAAATACAAAGTGTCTATTTATGGCTGAGGGCATTTTAATATTCAAAGGCTTACATAATGCAAGACTTGCGATATTGTGACTAATGCGATGTTTCACAAGGTTCATTATTTATCACTAAATAGTAAAATGATCTCCATTCAGTTTAGATAAAATTAAAAATTTCTCGTATTCTGAGCCTTTCATTAAAAAGCGCGCAAATTTTAACGGTGGTCTTTACGACTTCTGCTTTCACATTTTTTTTATCAAAAACTGGAACTGATAACTCCTTATATTCAAATATAAAATTATTAAGAATTAATTTAGTGGTACCAAAATTAAGTATGTTTGACATTTTCCTTGTTAAAAAAACAGACTTCACCAATTTTTTTTGAAATCCCAGTCGGAGTTTTGAAATAAGTAATAGAGGTTTACAGGGTAATAGACCACGCACACATGGACATAAAAATAATGCTTAGTGAAAAGATTTTTTTTTATTACAAATGTGATTTTTTTTTCCAGATGGGAATGGAAGTGGGCATCCCGGTCCCGATGTGCTGTGTGTGGTAAACCTTCTTTTATTCCTTGTAGTGTCACTGTTAAGATAATGAAATCGTGATTGGTAGAAAGTGAAGCGTGCCTAAATTTTGTTTTGATATATTTTTTATATGTTATCCTAAAGTAACTTTAGTCGCATCGAGTGTCAAATTTCTAACCTGAACTTAGATTAGATTAGAAATTTGTGACGTGTTGATTGTTAAAATACTTTGAGACGTTGTGGTTCCTTTTATGATTGTTGTTTTATACCATTAATGGCAATAAAATGACGAAGAGATTATATTACTTTAAGAAACGAATAGAACTGTAATATATTCTGTATACATAAAATATAATTCTAGTATGTACAAAATGTGATACTATTTAGAAAATAAGGTACCATGTTATTGTTATAGTGGTAGAGTTTTTTAATTTGTGGATGAAAGACTAACCGAAAGCAACTTTCGAGAAACTTTTATAGCAATTTTCCGATGGTCGTGCAAAATAGGGGCATGATTAAGTGTTTACATGAAGCGCTTTCAAAGTAATAATTTCATTTGTGTAATAACTGGTAAGGCAATTTCTGTAAATGTTGAGTTTGCTCTAGGTAATAAAGTTTTGAACCCTAACAAGCTTGCATTGTGTTCTTCTACCTTGCGTCAAGAAACACTTTAAAAAACACTCAGCGTTGACGTCGAAGGAATCGGCCTTTTATTAGCAATAAAACAAATACAGCGGAAATACTTAAATATCGCGAGGGTGTGTATTTGTGATAAACCCGCTTTTTATTTGCGGAAAGCGTGTAAAGAATCAGAAGTTACGGCGTCGAGTGGCTGAAATAAATCTAAATTACTGCAAGTTTGGCCGCTTCTGTGCCGGCGCGACTTCATTATAACAATGTCGAGATAAAAATTTATTTAAATGTTGAGTGGTGGGAAAGGTTTTTTAATTCGCTAGGTGTTTGTTGTAAAAATGTTTGCGATTTTGGAAATTTATTATTCGGCTTGGCGAGATTAGGAGCTGAAACTTTCGTTTCAAACGAAATTATATCACAAGTTATCAAAGTGAATTATCAAAATTATCGTCATCTTTAAGTTTGCAAGAGTTGATGCACATCTTTCCTTAACTTAAATTAGTTTTGCACCCGGAGTAAAGACGGTGCCGGCGCAGATAAAGAATCATTAGTGCAAATAAAGAAAAGTCAAAATTGAAGTCTTGTTTTCCGACTGGTAGTTTTTACAGTTTTTATTTAAGATAACTTTAAGTAAATCATGACCATATGATATGCAACAACTCAATATTATAGGTGGGTCCAGATAATAACTTCAAGTGCGATACGGTTAGAGGCAACTAATTTCAATATTATCAGTAGAGTCCAGACTTTGGGATATCACGTGTGGCCTCAACTTATACATAATAACTAAAACTAAGTCTTGGCTAGCCCGGAGTGAGTCATAAATCACGCCTCCATTTTAGGTGGACCATTCCAGCCAATATTTGATTATTAAAACAACCAACTTTAAAACAATTTCGAGTGTCAACTTGCCAATTACTCTCGGAAATTGAGGCGAAATATTAATTATGAAGCCGTTGAATATTCAATTCAAAGCACAAGAGGTTTCGTATTTCAATTAACAGCAGCGGCGTCCCGTGATATTTTTCAATTTACTTGAAGAATTAGAATGTATAAGGGCGATGTGAGGTGATATGGAAATGACATTTCAACATCTATTACAAGGTTTGCCAATTGAAGTGTTATATTGATTAATAAATATCTTTTAATAATTTGTAATATTTTGGATAAATTCCTTGTAAAACTTACTTGGCGAACCCTGTTAAACTAAGTTGACATTAAATTAATAAAAAAAATTAATAACTCTCCGTCGTGTTGTCAAATTCGGTGCTTGTTGAATTCTTCAGCAAGAAATCAGAATTGTTAAATTGAATCAAGATCACTAAATAGGTCGTTACGCCGGCTACAATCTGAAAAATACATAAAATTTTTGTGACTCTGATATTATTCTAAATTATACTGTGTAGAGTAGGGTGTAATCTAGCGGAAATAGTCCACAAACTGTGAAATACAATCGGTTGTGATACATTTGTAAGGAATATATTTCAATCTGAAATTATCTTCTTCTTGAATCACTTAATCTACTTAAATATATTTACCGTATCTTGCAGATTTGTATTCGTTGTATTGTTCCTAATTTTATGCAAAATTCTAGGGCACGTATTCGCCTGGAAACAGATCGCAAGCTATAAGATTAATTAGTTTAGTGATTCATTATCTAATAACAAATTATACTAACAAGTCTTATAACGATCAATAAAATTTTACTGTAATAACGTGCACTAAACAAACTATTCGAGGGTTAGATTAGAATTCATTTTGCAAGTAAAAGTTATACGTAATGAAGTTACTCTAATAATAACATTACCCACTGTTGATGTGAGTTGTAATGTGCATCCTGTGGCAATGCAACCGCGGTAATAAAACAAGACACGCAGGAAAGTTATGTGAAACTTGTCACATCTCCTCGCTAAACACATTCATCAAAAGTTTTAAATTTCGTAAAACTCTTTTTCATGTAATTAATTGAAATCTGTTGCGTAAAAATAAATTGTGGAATCATTCCCTTTCCAGCTTGTTACATTACTCGACTGCTTTGTTTTTACTCGGCCTATTGATTCGACTGTTTCCAATTAGGACAAGAAAAAATAATTAAAATCGCCGATCAAGCGAAAATCCTATAAATTCAATTTATTGTTTCCTTTGCTTTAGCGTCGGTTTTCACAAATAATTTATAAACGATTTTTTTACTTACTTCTTCGCAAGTCTCGCTGGTTATCCAAACAATGGCCATTACTTCGCACGCGTTGGAGAAAGCCCAAAAAGTAAAAAAGTAATCCAACTGACTTTTGTTCTCAGATGAAGACTTGTTAAAGTTAATTGCAACTAAAAACAGTGCTGTAACAATACTAATAAAAGTAACAGTGATTCTTAAAAGTTGTTGCACACAAAATGCGTAGTTGATCATGTGAGCGGTGTCTGTGAGCTTTATATGAAGAGCTGCAACTTGGTCGACTATAAAAACGGGGTCGGAAATGGCCAACATGCTTTTTGGGAGTTTGCTACCAGAAGTAAAAATTTCTTTCGACTTTCGTTTCGCCTTTGAAGCGACTGTTTTGACCTGAGCCTCAGTCCAACTCTCAACAACTGTGTTTATTATTATCGAAATATTTTCCTTTTTTTTAAACTTACCATTAAGAGTTTGAGTTTCTTGTACCAGTGTCTCTAGATATTCATTCAGTAATTTATATCTGACTCTTAGAATGTTCAAGTAGTGACAGTATTGTAATTCCATTAACAAATTAATAAAATAAGGCAAAATACAAGTCATAAACATAATAAAGAAGGAGTAGACTTGAGTTCCGTATTCAAAAGTAGCAAAAAATATAACATTGACGGTGAGTGTTACTACAATTGTTACAAGAGTAGCCAAATGTATTAAAATACTGACATACATTTGCCTAAAATAAAATATCCTGTGATTACTTTAAAAAATAAATAAATGAAAGTACTTGTAAGGGACCCACACGGCCAAACTCCGAAACGCCACATCAACTTCCTCAATGTTCTTAAAAATCTCAATCACCTTTAAGGCAAAAATGCATCCAAAAATTACAGAACAACAGGACAATAAACTTGAAAAAATTTCCTCAAAGTACCTCAATTTCTGTTGTAAATCACTGTCTTTAAATGGTTTTAAATCGAAAACGGCGTGGTACGTTAAACTACCCAAAAGTATTAAAACCAAAAGTGCGTTTCTAATTAAGGGCCACCAAGCAAATTTAAAAATCTTTTTGCCGTTTTCTACTCGTACTAAAGAGTATGGTGCTAATCCGAAGAAGGTACACATGTAAAAAAGTGGGTGAATTGCAGAATAAACGTCGTTTGGTTCTTTGAAAAATTTTAAAATTCGTTTTGAAAACATTGTTACTTGAGTACAGATGAGAGGATAGTGAGGTCATACAGAAAAAATATTGGATCAATAATCACTTAATGTTATTGGTTTAATTGTATTAAATATGACTAATATTTTGTTTTCTACTGTTCTAATGTTTATTGGACAATTTAACTGATGAACCTGTAAGGAAAAAGTTGATTTTTGTGTTGTTTGTATTTCGTTTTCTTATTAATAACAATTGTCAAATTCGGAAAGCAAATTAATGAAGTTTTGAGGTCTGACAAGGGGCAATAACATAAAAGACCGTTTGGTGAAAATCTCTAAAAGCAAGCCATCTCAAATAGAGAGAACTGTTTAAACTGTCTCTGAATTTGCAATTGAAATCAAGTCAATTGAACACCATTTCTATTCAAAATAAACCTTTTCAAAGCTTCAAATGTTCGTTTTCTTTCACTATTGCTTCTCACATTACGAGGACACGCTACTATATCAACGCTCTCATCCAATAAAATTCAAGTTATTGGAGGAATTTTGTAATAATTAATTGTGAATATTAAAATTATACTTACTTTTTGTCTAGAAAAGTCTTATTTAGTTTAGACAAAATGCTTCACGTTCTGTTCCTTTCAATCGAAATTGGACTTAATGGTGGATATTATTGACTTAAAAGCCTTAAGCACTTTGTAGTCGAGCCATTACTCGAGAGAGCTTTTTAATCAATTTCATCACAATTATGCATCGAAGATCTTAAAGGTTTATGTAAAGCAACCAATTACACTAATTTGATTTCTTTTCTATAGTCTGCTTTTCCTAAGACCCGGAAAATTTATATTTGCGTATGCCTCGAGTAAATTATTTCATAATCAAAATTAATTTCACTAAAAATGAGGCAATAAGACTGGTTCATAATAGTGTGTGGGTGTTTGAAATGAGAAATCGTTTTTTTTTTTTTCAAATATTTATTTAAGTTATACAACGCAGACTTTAAATACAAGTGTCATCTAAATATTAGAAGAAAAGTGTAATAAGTCGCTCTTTACTCTACAACATCAAAATTTGCCTCAGGAAAAGCAATAAAAAAAATAAAAATAGTGCAAACTTTATAAAAATAGTAACATTCTGGTCGATTGGAGTTTTCTGACGTGACAAATAACTCATTGTACATTTGGTTAAATAAATCTATCTATTTATCTATGACTTGTTTGGTGAGGGTAGAGGGGCGTTTTCTTCATAAAACATCATCATGACTGCACTTTGTGACCTCTTTTTTTTCTTAGGCTGGAAGAAGAAATCGTGAGTCAGCGAATGAATAAAAGGCAGAAAATTACTTTTGATGAGTTGGTACTAATTTCATCCCCGCTGCTGCTAGACGTAATTCCTCCTTCCTCCAACGTTAATTTCGTCGATAATCCCTCTAATTCCATTTCGATATAAAGCTGGTTTAATTGGTCGTTTACCAGTATTGGCTGCAATCACAATTTTTACGAGTTCGTATCATTTTGTCGGAGTTAATATTTAAATTTTATGCCCGTTGTTAATTGTCATATCGGTCAGATTCTAATCTTGAATAGTAAAAAATTGCAAACCTGCTCAATTTTTTTCAACGCGTTGAGATCAGCTTCTAGGATATCATCCAAACCTTTCATTGTCATCTGATATTTGTAAATAATATCAGGGGTTATTGACACAGCTTCTAGCCATGGTGGATCTCGTTTCCGAATTGGGACGTTTTTGCGATTTTTAGTCCCCTAAAAATGAAAATCAAATTGAAACTTATTTTTTTTAATTCGAAAAAAAAACTTACGCCATCTGTTTGAGACGCCTTTTTTTCAGAACCGTTAGCATCGTCATTAGATCCAGATCCGTAATCGGTCTTCAAAAATGAGGAATATGACGACGAAAAACAACTTTCATCATCAATAATGTTATTATCGCGGAAAAGAGGAGCTCGATCGTTTAGATTATTCATCTGCAACGTTAGAATTCTTGTAAACACGAAAAATTTTAATTCGTAATAATACAATGTGTGAATTTTTAAATTATACTATTAGTGAGTAATGTAGATGTTAATAATGTGTTATGTATACTCACGTGAGTGGTCGGGCATTTACCTCAAACCGCATCATGGGTTATAACAAAATAACATTAATATGAAGTAAATTCCAATGGCTTTTTCAGCCAACAATCAAATAGGAAAAATGGAAAGAGAGAGAATTTCCAATTGAGAACATTGGTATGAGAAAAGCTACAGATGATTATAGCATGCAAACACAGACAGAATGTGTGTTAACCTTTTGGCTCAAATGAAAACTTTCCATGTGAGTCTCCCCATCAGGAGGACTAACCAATGGAGAATCGGGGGAACACACTGACTGAAGTGTCAGGTCCTTACGTGAACACTCAGACATTGCCTGCAAAAAGAGATTTGCAAAACCCAAAACCACTAATCTGTCCTTTTTATTTATTAGTTGTGTTAATAGAGATGTGCGAAATTTTTGTTTACCTTATTGGCGACACTGGCTGATGCTATAGACCCTAGAGCGCTCCCCGGTTCGGCTTTAACCGAAGTGGCTTGTGAGGCAGGTCTTTGGAATTGGGGGACGTTGTGTGGATTTGATTTGTACTCAGCTGAAGCATCATTTGGAGGATTGATGGTGCTGTTTTGGCACATTTCGGGATTAACTGACATCGTGGGAGGGACAGGGATTGGTAAGACTGGAAGGGGGGAACAGATTATGGGAGGAGTAGGATATATGGGATTGTAGTTGTAAATCATCCCTGGCATGTATTGGACTAGAATATACGAATTAATTTAAGAAAAAGAGCAAAAGGAGAACTTACCTTGATATCTGGGATCGTTAAGATTGCCTTCGAAGCCTCTCTGTTGGGTTGGTATGTAATAAAGAGGGAACATTCGAGGGGCAAGGCTTCCCAAAGGATTCGGATTTGATGTCACATTCATGCTTTGGGTGTTACTTATTGGAGTGACAGTGACGGAAAATGGGGGCCACAAATTCACATCATTGAGCTATAAAAATTTCAATTCCAAATTAGTTTCCAACAAATACTCAACTAACCCCTTGTTGGTACACAGTTTCGTTTTTGGTGTCATTATTAACAAGCGCTTGTGGAGGCTTCATCCGTGTTGGAGGTTCCTGATTTTGGTTATTATTACGACCCATTTGGTGCTTGTGTTTGGTTATTTTATGACTTTCGCCTTCCCATGAGTGAGAAACGCTGCGTTTAATCCCATGTCCTTGATTTGAGTAGTCATTTTTTTCCAATATTTTGTCACCAGCATTCGTTTTTTCGTGTTTATGATGTGATTTTTTACTCTCTCGGTCTCTGGTGACGGATCTTTGTTCCCGGTGACGCTTGATCATGATTTTTTCCATGTCCTCGTTATGTCTGTAACAATCTATGAGTCGGGGAAGTCACAAAATTGATTATTACTTGTACAAAACTGCTTCAGTGAGTAGGAGAGGTTTGTAGGAGTCGTTGGAGGTATTTGTGGCACTTGTTGTAGCACTTTCCATGTTGGGGTTGCTAACTGAACTTAGGTTCCCGGCGCTTCCGCTTCCAGAAGCTCCGCTGTTTTCGATGGGGGAAAGACACTTTCTGGAACAAAATTGTTACTCTTGTTTCTAAACTCAAAAATGGTCTTACTGATTGTTGGTACAGTGTTGAACAGAAGACAGAATTTTGCCTTCGGGGTCTGTATCATTTGAGGCACTTGGCCGTTCACTACTTTCATCGGAAATTGTGGTCTTGGGTTTACTTTGAAAAAATCTCTGGATGTTTTCGTTATAATTTAATTGATTGTAGCTAGGAGGTGTCTCTGACGAGGATTTACTATCGTAGTAATCGTGATGTGGGGATATTTCTCCCAACATAACAGAATCACGTTCCTGAAATTTAAAATATTTGCCTATCCACCTTTTTTTTATTTGAATTGTAAAATTCAATGTTAGTCACCAGTGCCCATTAGTTTATAAATTGATAAAAATTGGGGCACTTACCATTCTTCTTAGACTTACCGAAATCGTGGGATCGGTATCTTGAGGTAAGTCTAGTTGTAAATTAGTTTTGTTTACTTCAACCATGAGATACTCCATAAAATTTGCAAGATCTTTGCATCTCTTTGAGACCTCGTGTTTTGCCGCTTCAGACGGCCTTGACAATTCCTATAAAGTATGAATTTTTCATCAGAAAGGTTGTTTATTAACAACTCAATGTTACCTTGTTTAATAACAATAAAATTTCTCCTTGAATCACTTTACTTTCTTTGAGAACTTCTTCAGGAATATATTTTTTCTCGTCGTCCTTATTTTGGTCAAAAATGTCTGGATTTTTAGGCCCCTAAATAGAAAAATTAACTTTTTTTCTTTTTAAAAATTACAATAACATACTTGTAAAACTCTGTGGAGACCAATTACGAATTCCAAACGCCTTGACCACGGATTGACGAAACTAGACCACTCGGTTTCAATCATGACAAAACCGCCATTTTGCACCGCAAATCTATAAGGTTTGCTACGAAAAACCGATCCAGCAATTTGGCACATCGTCATGACTAGAACAAAAAGAACACTCAAAAATAATTTTCTATCGAATTTTGAACTTACCAGATTCATAAACTTCTTTGAGGAAAGACATGTCTTCAGGATGATAAAAATCAAAAATTGATTTCCCTAACATATCTTGAGGCAAAAACCCGAAATTTGTAACCACGTCAGGGTCCACATGACTGAATATGCAGGCCGCAGTGTGTCTCATGCCAAATTTGGCACATTTTACCCTTTCTTCAGGAACTAAAATACACATCTTATGCCAAATTTTGCTCATTTTACCCTTACCTTTATACGAAGAATATACAGGATTTGCTACTACTACAAGAAACATTCCCCCATTAGTGTCTAAAAGTTTTTTAGAGTCTGGAGTGTCATTGAGGTGTCTAAAGGTAACAGTTAGTTGAAACGCTTGGTAAGCCACTGCTTTTTCAACCACACCAAATCCGGAAGATTTGAGTCCTCTATATTTGCGAAGACAAACATATAGAGAATTTTTAATATCTGTAAAAAAAATTTTAGTGATAAAAAAGTAAGTTGGTTAAGTAACAACCTTTGAATTTTCCTTGAGAATCCACTAAAGGTAAAGCAATACCAGTGGTAACTTGACTAGAAAAAGTTTCCCTATCCTTTGGATGAACAAAATCAATAAACGATCTTCCTAACCACATGTCTTTGGGAAAGCCCAAAACTGACGTCAGACTCGGTGTTGTGTATAGCACCACTCCATCGTACATAGAAATGACACAGCAGAAGCCATCCTAAAACCGAATTGTTTTTTTCATCGATTTTTTCTGATGACGTTTTACCTCTGAAGGAGAAGCCGTGACTTTGTTTTTCTCAACCGAAGTCTCCATTGGAACATTTGGAACATTCAAAGGTGTTTCATTTTCAGTATGCTGGCTTTGTTGGTCGGTCCAGGACATTTCTTTATCTCGAGGTGGTGTCTCCGCTAACATATGCAAAAAAACATACCACAGGCAATGTGTTACACCTAAATCTTAACATCAAGCACAAACGCATACACCCGGACCGGATTATGTCTAATAAAGTTAGTTTGTTAAAAAATGTGCAAAACAAAATAATTGTAAGAAATTTAGTCGATTAGTTAGTTGGTTAATTTTCATAACTGTTACCTGTGACTGGCACTGAGGGGGATACACTGGGGTCGGGATCATTTGATTCAACTATCTCGGTTGTGGGGACTGCTGTTTCAACAACAGGGATGGTAAGTACTTCAACACCTGAAAAATTCTAGTTATTTGAAGAAAGTCAGTTTTGGAATAGTACCCATGGTTGGTTCGCTATCTTCCTTTAAAATAACACAAGTGTTTCTATTGTCTGAAGGTGTGGTTGCTGTAACTGTCGAAATGTTGCCACCATTTGTACTAGAATTTGCAGACTTGGGTTTTTTCTTTTTGTGTTCTTTGTTCCGTTTGGGAGGTTGGAATCCAATTTCACCGCTAGAGAATTTATAGAAAATAAAGTAAAAAATTTGCTTTTTCTATTACCTTTCATCCGGATTAGTAGTCCCACAATATCCACTACTTCTACTCGAATTACTCCCACTGTGTCGAGACTTAGAGCTTGCACTTTAAATATTAATGGTTAGAGGAAGCCGCAATTTTTTCTATAGTTACCTTCTTTGTGAATTACTGTTACTACAGCTGTTTGAGTATCCAGAATCGGAAATTTTTGTGTTTGTAGTTCCGGATTCAGATTCCATAACGAATTTAGACTGCGATATCTTAAAATTAAGACACAGTCACCAACCATAACGCAAGAATATGTAAAATATTCGCTTAAACGTCTTATATAAAATCTCATAATTATGAATGAATGTACGTGAATTGGGCCTAAATGTGAATTATTGAAAATGAATTAACTAATTGTGTTGGCAATAATTAGCAGCGTGCTTGTACACGAGCATTTGGAAACAAAACATTGCTTTCTGAGCTTGGAGTAATTTAATTGAAAACAAGAGTTGAATGGTTTGTTTTACCAAGTAATTTAGTTTTTACGTTTCCACAATTTTTTTAAAATCTACTTCTAATAAAATAACTCTTTACAATAGCTTTCTTTTCAAACTGGTTTTCTAGAATAATTCTCAATGGAGAGATTAATCGCAGTAATGCTGAAAAAACGTATTTAGAGGTTGTAGTTTCAAGAAATCGGTAAGTTCAGGTTGAAACACGTGATTAATTCATTTTACTCGCACGTGTCTTGCAAGACAAGAATGAAATCAGCTTGCATTGCTTAATTTTATTTTTAATGTGCATTTTTACTTCTCAAAGATATTAAATATTAATTAAAATCAAGGCGAATTATTTCCAGTGATAATAATAATTATTAGAGTCCGGATGTGCTTTGCCAACAACATTTATTTTTGCAACAACAATATTTTAAAGTAACATTTTGAGTGGAGTGCGTTTTACGAGCACGATTACGTGAACGTGAAGGCAAGAATAGACCGAATGGAACAATAGGGGCTTTTAATTTCACAAACTTGTTATATATAAACTCGTGGGCAATAATTGTTCTTGAACTATTATTCTGGTGTTTCCAATTAACAATTTCAACAATTTCATTGTTTGTTCCATAAATATATTGAAAAAAATCTTGTGGTACTGAAATTAGATTATAGCTGTTGGGTGCATTGTTGATTGAACATGACAATTTGTAGATTTTATTTTTATATATTATTTAACATGACCTTGTCACAAGCCATCTGCAAAGTTTTTTTTACCATTCCAATTCGGAATTCGTTCATGCAATTAAGTTTCTTACATAATGGGTTTAGGTTGCAGCAAGTGTTTTATATAACGCTGTTTAGTGTGGCAGACCAAGATTGCTGGTTCAAATGGGCTATAGATTATGTAACGACTGTCCGAACCTTTAGAGGTATTCTCTGATTAGAACGCTTACATGAAGACGACTATTTAAAGAGAGCTGTAATTCTCTAACAAAAATAACTATAGTGTTTGTTCTAAAAAGAAGAACTACGAATGCCTAAATTGACACTTTTCGGATGAGCAAAAGCAATTGCTTGGAGCGCTCAACCTATAAGGATTCATTTGAGATATTGGGTGTTTGTTATGTGACCTATTCAGTTTCCTCTAGAACGGAACTATCGATTCTGTTTGAAATAGGTTTGGAGTTAAATACATCTAGTTTTATTACTGGATTCACCCAAAAATCAAATGATTCACTAGAGAAGCCAATAACTAAAACAATATCATTAAAATTAAAAAACTACCATAAAAAGTCTTGTACATATAGACTGTTCTAGGACTATTAAGTTCTAAAGAAGTGGTAATAAATAGATAATTATAATAATTAGTAATTACATTATACTAATAGTCTAAGGCTTATTGAGTTTTTTTCTGCTCATAAATGACAAGTAGTTGTGAAAGTAGCATGTGTCTTAGATGGGGAAAGACAGAAAGTATACTTTGACTTTTCCAAAATACCAAAAAATATTTGTTTTAAAAAATACGGCAAAAACAACATCCGTTCAAAATAAAAATAAACAAATTTTTAAAATTTCTTTAAAAAATAACTATACTCGCAAAGTCTTATATTTAGCGGTTGTGTTTCGTTATGTTTGTTCATTAATGTGCAATTTCCAATAATTTATTATTTTATAAGTATTACATTTATTATGTTACAATTGCCTTCAGTAAGCGTAACTTATACGAAAAGAAACTTTCCTTGCTCAAGGTAACTATCGTTAAAAGGAATTTATTAGGAAATTAGTGCTAAATTAATGATTTTATTACCATTTAGGTACCACAATGTGCAATTTTTTGTATTACTGTAGTAGAATAAAGCTAGCTATAAACTCAAATTATGTATAATAATATTTTTGTTATGATTATGCAATGTGGAAATAGAAGTTTAATTTAGCTTTCTTTAATAAGCCATTTCAAAGATTCAAATAAATTTCTTATACTTAGTTATGTGAGTGCTAAATAAAATTTATTTATTTTATTAGTAATAGATGTAATAGCTTGCCTAATTTAAGTCACAATTTTTTTGTAGGCTAAAGAGAGAGCAGAAAAAATGGCCGTTTCAATGATTGTGTTTTGTCATTGGTAAATAAGTAAAATGACCGTATTTAATTAAAAGCAATATCAGGCATTTCTTTAGGGGTGAAAACTCAAAATTTCGATTTTCAGGTAAAGTGTCAAGAAAAGTTCATGTTCTTGCATTCTTTGATCCAAATTTAGAAAGAAAATGTGAAAAGGGTAATGATAAACTGTTTTGGAACTCTGATAATATTTTTTTGAATGTTTGCCTTTTAATTTACATGTAAGAAAACAATTTTAATTAAATGCGTTTTAGGCCAGGTTTTAATAAACAAGATTCTTTCCAAAATTTAAGATTTTCCTTTGTGAAATTTGAAATTATGTTAAAGTTTAAAACAAGGGGCGATAAAAAATTATTCTGTTTTGGTTATTAGATCCTCAATGCCTGTCTTAATTTTGAATGTTATGTAAATCATTCTGTAAATCAGAGATAAGGACCATCTCAGATGATTTCCCTGGAGTCAGAATAATTAATGTAGCTTAAGAGTATAAGTTTTTTTGAATTTTTTCAATAAATGAATAATTTATTAATTAACGACTTTGTTTTTCTAATTATAACTACCCAATTTGGTTCACCTCCTGACACAATCGACCATATTTCCCCCGCTTTGCAATTTATTATTACTTCCATGTCGTAACATAAAATCCCATGTACAACAACGTGCTCTTCCCATGCAGACCCCAACCACTGCCAATCGCAAAATTGTTATATGAACTTAATTCGTCGTCTTTTCATGACATGTTTCAAAAGAAAGACTCCGATTCTTTCTAATAAAAGAATCACTTATTTATAGAACTGTCCTCTACCAAGCAATTACCTTTCTCTCAATCTTTGCTACTTGGTATTAGATGATCACCTTAACACACTTTGTTTTTTTTTATAAACTTGCGCTTGTAATTTTCACTCAATGTAAAATCTGCTTAAGCCAATATGAAGATTTTTCCAGCAACAGGTGACAATGTTTTATGCCATGTGATCTCAGGGAAGTGGGATGTATTCATTTAGTGGAATAATAAAAAAAGGTTTTGTTTCTACTTTTCAGTCCTAGATTTATCTGCAACGTGTGATTCAGTAACCAACAAAAGTCGCCGTAAAATAAATTTGTCAAACTTAGTATCTCCTATGTTGCTGATTCACGTTGTACTAAACGTGCAGTGTAAAGGAGTATCGGAAAAAGTAAACATTATTTATGTACGGGTCATTTGGTATTTACTAAACACGAATTACAACTTATTTAAGTAGCAACGTCGATTCATTTAGGATATTTTTAGTATTTAAAGCAACTGCAAAGTTTTAAGTAATTTAGTCAAAACAATAATGATAATAGTTTTGTTTTAAAGAATCTACTCTCGAAGGAGTCACGTTTTACCCTTCCGTAGTTTTTTTTTCTATAATAAAAATAACAATGACAAATAAATGTGGTGTAGTTTTGGTAGGATACGAAGTTCAATTAGTTAGTAATAAATATGCGGCCTTGATGATGACTTGGTAATTTAAAAGATAAAGTGTATGCACCTGCATTTCAATTACTATAATCCCAGTTAGAATTTATAACACCTATACCTGTTTGAATTAATTAAATAATTCTGTAAAATTAGTTTCTTATTTTTTATTGATTTTTGTTTTATTTTTTTAAATTCACAATTGTTCTAAAATTAGCTAGCACATTTATTATTGCGTTGGTGGTTATTCGATGTCAATTCAAAACAAATTTTAATACAAATAATGGAGAAAATAGAAATGAATGACAAAGCCATCGAGGTTTCAATAAAGCAGTTATGCAATTATTTGACCTACGGTTACCACAGCTTTTGAGAATTTTCAGGTCAAAGGTCAATTCCATTGAAAAATCACAGTTTATTTGTTGCTACTTATTGTTTGACGATTTTTTTTTGACTTATATGTGCGAAATTTTAATTTCTTCTATTCATTAGCACAATAATAACTCTCGTAAATTTTATAGATACTTAGCTACTAAAATTTAATAAATTTAACAGAAAAAGAAAAACGTAAATTTATTAGCTTTCATTTAATACAATATTTTTTTTATTTTATAATCCAAATTATACTAAAATTACTTTAGAATTTTTATTTTTCAGCTTTTGGGGCCAATTCACATAAAGTGAGTTACATATTTTAATTCAGAATTAAACTACTTCGAATTAAGTTGTCATTAACTTTGCATTGCCAAACGCCGAATTAATTGCGAATTAAAATTGTAAAATGTGTAGAGTGAATTAGATTTTTTAAATACACCTGCTACTTAAAATCTGTTCTAACATGTTTTCAAGTTGTATTATTCCGGACCAGGAATAATAGTTATTTATTGTAAGAGTGTGTTAGATAGCGTTTTATCCACGCAAGAATGTTTAACCGCGAGAACGTTAGTTCGAGCAGTTACTTCTCTTAAGTGGATAAAACGCGTCTAACACACAACTGTAATATAACGTTTTATTCACAATCACAGGCCCAAATTATTCCAAACTTAATTAAAAATTAAACTGACATTTAAACGTCACGCCAAATGTGCTTTCGGTTAAACGTTACGCTGTTACGCGGTGCGCTGTTTACTAACAATGGAATAAAGTTACTTTATTCCACTAGTGGATAAAGTGGTACCTTATACGCATCTAAAGTGTGGAATAAAGTCTAATAACACTGAACAAATTAACAATGTGTTTAAACTATAAAGAAATATGTACATCCAGGGGAATTTAAAGCAAATTCATAACTGTTGTGTACCCTATAGTCCTTGGATAGGATCAAGTTCAAATCAAGTTTTCAAATTGGTTTATATAATTGGTAAATATTAAAAAAATTATTAACGGCTCGTGTACTAAAATCCCTTAAGGGACTTATTTGGTCTTCAGGATTCGCCTCTGATCTTCGAATCATATGACCTGTTCTTTTTTTTTCAAAAAATTTCAAAATTTCTATTTAAAAAAAGTGCTTGTTATTGCCTTTTGAATATAGCAACAACACATCATTATAGGTTTACATTAAATCCTATTAAAATAAATCACATTATTCATAATTCACGTGTCATTAATGTAAGATTAATTGAATAATTTATTTACATGTAAAAGTTATTATAATTATTGAAGTAAAGCGAATAATGGAATTAATGAGGTAATTTTCCCAACATTGGTTGCCAATGCTGACATTTCTTAAAAGGAAGTTCGAGTAAAAAAATTAAATTAAAAAAACTGCTCTTACATTTAAAAGACTAAAATAAAATTGAAAACTACCCTTCAAAAAATGCAGTTTTAAAAACCAACCACAACCTACATGCTGGAATTCCGTTAATATAAAAAATTACTTACAATAAACTGGCGTTACATTTTCAGTTAACTTTTTGAAAAGGAACGAAGAACTGGTAACTATCACGAAAAAACGCAATACTTAATCGCAACAAAATTATTTCATATTACTGCAAGCTCGGTTCAAACTTTACTGGCGCAACATTTTCCTTTGGCGAGATCGCAGAATGAGACAGTGACGTACAGAAAGAACATGCAGGAAAAGGAGAGAATATAATATAGCAAGTGGGCACGCAACCAGCGACTATTCACGCTTTCAACAACGTGAGCTGTCTTTCCCTGCACGCCTGCATTATCGTCCTTTGTCCACACTTCGACGCGGATTTTCGACAGATTCAAATGCTAAATTTACGCTTTAATGCCGTGAATAACGCGGTTACAACTGCACGTAATCTCTGTTTTGACAACATTTGACTCTCTTTGCCCAAAATATCATTATTCAAGAATTTGGAGTATTTTATTCAGTTTTGCACAGAAGTTTAAAATATTTTCGATCATTCAAGGATGTGTAAAAATAACCAAAAACTAATACGTAACCGTATTTACTTGCTTTATTCAATTTGGAACAATTTTTTTTTCATCGACAAATTTTGTTCCACGTGATAAATTCGAAATGTCAACAGAACCAGGCATAACTCGTTTACACTAATTAGCTCTAATTTTTTCAATTAGAATCCATTTAAATTTCTCAGGATTGGTTATATATTTTATAAAAGCAAATTAATAAAACACCAAATAACTAAATCTGGACTCTATTTGAGCAATAGACTTAAAATAAATAACAATCTGATAAAATGTTGAGAAATTAATGTTTACATAATGGTATATTTAAAAATAAATAAATAAAAAATTGGTAAGACAGAGTACTATAACTACACCTCGTTTACGTTAAAAATGGGGCATGCATAAGCCCCATAACCCCAATCTTGGTGTCAATAACTTCCCTATCGGGATGTGTCTTCTTGTGCGTTTTCAACGCAGAACTCTGCCTAAACGCCTGTCCACATACATCGCAAATGTACGGTTTTTCCCCCGTGTGGATCCGCAAATGCGACGTCAAATCATTCGACTGCGAAAACGCTTTCGTACAAAACTTGCAAACGTAAGGTTTCTCTCCCGTGTGTGTCCTTTTATGTCTGGCTAAAATTCCGGATCGCGAGAACTTCATTTTGCATACGTCACACTCGTACGGTTTTTCCCCCGAGTGGATTCGTTTGTGTTTTGTTAAAGAACTTGACGTCGTGAAGCCGTGATTGCAGATGGGGCACACAAAAGGGCGCGCGCCTGAAACAAATACAAATAATTGCTGCGATTATTTAATTCGAGTTGTTACCGGTGTGTTTTCGCAGATGGGCCGAAAGTTCACCTTTGCTGGCGAAACCGTTACCACAAGTGCTGCAAAGGTGGGCTTTGATGCCGCTGTGGCGGATGGTGTGTTGGCGAAGGTTTCCCAATTGATTAAAGCCCTTGCCACAAGTAGAGCACAAGAAGGGCTTTTCGCCGTTGTGGGTGCGCATGTGGTCTTTCAAATTCGATATTTGGTTAAAACCTGAAGACAAACAGAACTCCTCTTTTAATTATGACAAAACGATCACTTTCAAGTCGCGGTATGTCCAATTTTTCATAAAAACACAAATATAAGTGGCACGTGTTTTAGTAAATATAATACACAGTACTTGAAAAATAGTGACGTGTAATTACATATTTTTTGTTATTTCCTTTACAGACACTTCATAGTTTATAAACTATAAAAAAAATGGAGAATAAGGCTATTTACTTTTTTACATTTTGTAAGTAAATTGGCCCTCCTTGAGTTTTCTTAATTTTAGTTCAGTAAATAAAGATAAGTAGATAAAGTTGGAATGAAAGCATGTTGTAACTTTCTTTATTTGTCACAGTATAAAAATAAAAGACTATTATTGAATTGCATCGGTTTACAAAAATCGTCATAACGAAATAAAGAGCAATTAACTGCCCACTAGACTTACTTTTTTGTTACGTTGCTAACATTTATAAACTGCAATAATGAGAATAAGTATCAATGATCACTTTAATTTCTTCATTTTGATATTACGAAAAGAGACAACTGGAATGTTGGAAAATAATTGTTTAATTGTCATGACAAACAAATTTGTATTTTATTTTGGATATTTCAATAAAGATGTATTTCTAATTCGTCCGTCCTGAAATTTTGAGAGAAAACAACAACAATGGATCTGTTCATGTTTTTTGTAAAAATCTACGTAACTACTTATTTTTTCATTGAAACCAACTAATTCAACATTTATTGATTAACACTTTTTTTAAATAAATATCCAACTATGTGCATAATGAACATATATCCTATTATTTAACTACTTAATTTATTTGTGAGATATTTTTTCATTTGAAATGTTTACTAGTAGACAGCTCTATTTTTCTAAACATAATAAAAAACGATAAAACCACATTTAGAAGTGTTCTGTTTTTTTTAAATTAATAAGAAATGAATTCGGAAGATTTAACTGTTTAAACGAAAATAATACCTTAACCTGCTTTAACTATTTATCTTTAACTGCTGTACAAACTACGATTAAATTTTTTGAATTTTTGAAAATGCATATCATAGAACTATACAGGATGTTCCATTTTTATTGTTACAAATTTAAACAGCTGATAGGATATTCAATTCTAAGACAAAAGTTTCCTATAAACATGTATCTAAAAATGCTTGGTAAGAGAGCTACACCCCCTGGAAGGGGGCTAATATGTTTTTGCTAATATTTCAGAAACCATTTAAGATAGAATTACAAAATTTGGTACAGATGATAACCTTTATACACCTAAACAAATTCAAACATCAAATGTCGAAATTTTTAATCAGGGTCGTACGAAACTGGGGGTGTTTAAGGTAAAAAAATACCCTATTTATCTTGGCTTTAGTTTCTCGATACTTTCAGCAACAAAATCTTAAGTTCGATAGTTTATCACAGAAAAGTCTCTCTTGTGTCGATACGACGTATTGTTTTTAAATAAAATTAATTTAAAATTTATGTTACACACCAATACAACATTCAAATAAATCAGAATTTACAGAATAATAAATTAATAAATTACATCACAGTAACAATAATAACATTAAGTAAATGAATTTGCCTAAATCTAAAAGAGTTGTTCAAAGTGACCACTATTTCGGTCAATGCATAACTAAAGAAACTAAAGCCAAAATAGATAGGGTATTTTTTTACCCTAAACTCCACCAGTTTCGGACGCACCTGATTAAAAATTTCGATATTAGATGTTTGAATTCGTTTAGGGGTATAAAGGTTATCATCTGTACCAAATTTTGTAATTTTATCTTAAATGATTTCTGAAATATTAGCAAAAACCTATTAGCCCCCTTTTAGGGGGTGTAGCTCCCTTACCAAGCATTTTTCGATACATGTTTATAGGAATCTTTTGTCTTAGAATTAAATATCCTATCATCTGTTTAAATTTGTAACAATAAAAACGAAACACCCTGTAGAAAAATCATTTTCCTAAAACCTACTAAAAATTTTATGACACATTATAAGGGATTAACCAAACAATGGCTTGAATTTGTAACCCTCCATAAATGGCACGTTCCTTTGCAAGTGTTGCTGTTCCCACTAAAATAAAACAGGACCGTATTTAAAAGCAAAGTAGTGGTGGAGTTTTACCAAGCTATTATTAAAAAAAAATCATCTTTATTTAATAATAGCTTGTTAATAACCACCTGGCTTTTTTAAATTTCTTAAAATACTTGACACTATTAATAACTACATCAAAAACTATTAAAATATTTCAAGTATTTTAGACAAAAAGAAAGTATATAAGTAATCCGGCCCTGTTAAAAACTGACCTGTTTCCTTGGTTTCTGGGTCTGGATGGGTTCCACTAATTTATGATTTGTTTACCCTCTAGTTTACTCTTAACAATACCGCATTTAAGTTAAAAGTAATAAAATTTTTAGTGGGTCTTAGGAAAACGTTTTTGCTATAAGACTAGGACTAAAACTGTCAGTCCTTTTACCTTTGAGACAAATAGCACAGACATGCGGTTTGATTCCAGAATGTATGTTTCTGTGATTATTAAGTTGCTCCGCCCTCACAAATCCCTTATTACACGTTGGACACACGTGTGGCTTATTCTGTGAATGAATTTTCTTATGTCGATTCAAATGCGCTTGTTTGCTGAATGTTTTCATACAAATTTTGCAAACTATAGATTCCCCGCCACCTTTTTCATGATTTTGAATGTGTGTTTCAAGTTCCTCTTTCTTAATAAATATAAGATTGCATTCGGCGCATGGATAAAGGGCTGTTTCTGTTTTAATAATAATCGTATCTTCATCCTGATCCTGATCTTCTTCACTGAAGTTCTCCAGTTCGAATTTTTGATCGTCCATTTTCATCGCGTGGGCGATTTTGTGCCTCAACAGTAGGTCATTTCGCGAGAATCTCTTATCACATGTATCACACTTGTATGCTTTGATGGCTGAATGAGTCTTTATGTGGCGATTTGCTGCGCTTTCTTTATTGAACACTTTGGGACAATGGGGGCACTTGTATTCCTTGTCCCCTTCGTCGGCTAAAAATTCAAACGCGTCTAAGTCACTATCACTTTTATCCGGTGCGTTAATATGGTCAAAATCGTCACTCAGGTCATGGTTAACTTCCGAGTCTTCTGAAGACAGTTCAGGCTTGATAACTATACTGTAAACGTCCACGTCCCCCTTAGTTTCCACGAAGTGTTTCTCCTCTATAGTGAACTGCTCCTGAAAGGGGCTCTTGCCTAGCCGACTCCGCAGAATTTTGTCTGATTCTTCACATTTTAACTTGAACATATACATATTTACAGTGTCTCTAGCGCAAGTGGTACAGATTTGTTCTGGTAGCCCATCACCGAGTGTCACCTGGGAAGAAACATTTTTAAATTTTGAAAATAATAGCACTCAAAATGTTGATTATTTGTTTTTACCTGGACGGAAGCGAATGCCATCATCATTTCGGAAATATGTATGGAAGTGCCGGTTCTCTCATCGGAGACGAAGATTGACTGGAATTCTCCCGATTCGGTCAAACATGCACGACAAATACTTGTTGAGATTTCTTCGTCCATTATTTTTTAATAGGTTAAAATTGCAACAAAACTTTTGACAATCAATCGAACGCTTCCAGAGCTAACAGCGTTTGCTAGGGTCGCCGCCAGATGGAGCCGGCCAATTTGACAAAAATCCATGTTTTTAACAATTTCCCACGATTTATTTATTTATTTCGTGATTTTAAGGTATTATTTCTTAATTTTTATGTGACAAACACGTTGTAAGTTCTTATTTCTTGTAACTGGGCTTACGTCACATGCCAATCAGGCCTGAAAAAACACAACTCCAGTGGCGTAGGTAAATTTTCTTGATCGATGGGACACAAATAAAACAGTCAGACACTTTATAAAAAATAGCTACAGTGGCGGATACGGAATTTTAGACATTCAATTTATATCAGTTCAAAAAATGTCAATGTAAGCCACGCTTGATGATTGACGTTTGAAACTAGAATTTGAAAGTTTTAGTTGAAATTAATTTTTTGCGTCGATTTTCCGAAACAATAATGCCAACAATACGTGTATTTATATAAGTTTAATAAATTATTTTGATTTGTTGTCATTTTTTCTCCAGCTATCAGGATAAAAATTACAAAAACTGAAAAGTGAGGTTAGTTGCCTAAGGCCTATGTCAGTCGAATGACAAATCATCCGAAATTCCAAAGTTTTATAGACAGTTTAAAAATCGAAGTTGTACTTTAAATTCAAGCAGCCGTTAGGGAACGAGAATTTAAGACTGAGACTTTTAAACTACATATAATATTTATAAAAAAAACTATAAAACTCGTGTTACCTTCAAACTTTTTTCCAACACTAATATTAATATTGTATCAGGATATTTAATAAATTCAGAAATTATTATAGATAAGTATGTCAAAATCGACAAAATGTCAAAATTGCTATGAGTACTATGGTAATAATATCAACAATTAGCGAAAAAACAAATTAAAAGTGTATTTTGACAACATAAGAAGTAAGCTCAGACGCATCATAGATGTATAAGATATCAGTATTCGAAACAATGTAAAAAAATGAAACAAGCACTAACAATAAAATAAATATTTCCCAAAAATGGAAGTTTTATTTTGGTACTCTTTTTTTCCTCAATCATCACTTCCTATGAGACGCTACTGATTTCTTAATTCGTTCTAATTCAATTGGTAATGTAGGTATCTACTATTGATGTTTTTGATCTGTCAATAATTTTGAATTCAACCACGGGAATTCAACGGATCACTCAATTTTCCAATGTGGTTTTTGTGTTTAAATATTAGAATTGTGCAAATATGTATGTGAAAGTTATAACTACGAAACAACCCTCTTATTTGGAAGCTTTATTGCAAGAAAATTGTAATCTTAAACTGGTTTTTAAAGAGGTGAGTTTTTACATATTTTATACTTATTTTTCCACAATTTTTTCTTGTAGAAGAAAGCTGAAAGTCCACATATAATCTCTGGGGAAGAAACTGAAATTCATGAGTTGAGTGATTTTGACCTAACAGGAGATCCTTTAAAAACAGATCTTGGGGGTGATGATATAATTGAAGATATAATTTTAACAAAACCTACTAATTGGTCATCTGAGGAAGCTCAACAGTACCCACTTGCACTATCTGAAGCCAGGTAATAATATTTAAGTAATACTTTATTTCTGCACTGTTATTTTTTTGTAGAACATTTATAAATAACCAGTTGAGGCTTAAGTCACGTAATGAGTCAATATATTGCATCTGTGATGGAAGTGATGCTAAAAAAACTGTTGGATTAGGTACTGTTGTAACCCCCAAAAAAATTGTTAGAACTCTTGTTCACGTTTTGCCTTGTTGTTACGATAATAATAGTGAGCAAACTATTGATCATCTGAAAAATGAGTTCCTAAAATCGTTGAAAAATGCGAACGCGAATGTTAAAACTTTTATTAAAAAATCTTACAATTTGTTTGGCTACAACTTGGAAAATTGTCACTCCTTTCAAAATGTTGAATACAATGGGAATATAACTATTGATGTTTCAACTTTTATGGATAGTAAATCTTCCAAAAATAATACGGTTTCAAAGATGGTAGGTGACAAAGTTTAACAGTTGTAGATTTATATTTTGGTACTTTTAGAATTTTCAAGTTATAATTGGCCATAATAATTCTCGTATTAATCGGTTATATCAAGAATTATGTCTTGTACAATCCTACATTACTCTCCTTCAAGATACACAACGAGTCAACGATAATACTATTATCAATTCTGAACATGATATGGACCCTAGCGACATCAATTCAATAATATTGGATTTTATCCATGCCCAGAAATCATACGGTGGGCGCAGTTTTACCAATTTGGATTTAGAAAATTTGAGGCAAACAAACATTTTGGACAAATTATGGGATAGCTTGAAGCGTAAGTCAGTTGCTATCGCTAGTGGAGTAACAATAAATTAAGGTTTCAGATTGTAAAACTGTGGGTGATTTATGCCATTGTTTCCAATTCTTTTTTGAAGAATTTGAAACAGGAGTTCAGACCGTAGAAGAAAGCGACTGCACCCTTGCAGAACTTGTAAACGGTCGAATTATCGTCTCTTCTTTAAGTCTTCCTCAATGTGTAGAACTCCTCATAGAGTTAGGCTTAATTAAGCTTAAAAATGATTACCTCGCCATCATCACCAGTTTTTATCCATTCGCTAAAGATTCACTTTTGAAGATGTGGAAGTATTTTTTCCCGATCTTAATTATTCTTGATTAATTCTTATTTACCTAGCGATTTGAAAGCCGAGACTAATGTTAACACAGATCTGCAACGCAAGTCTAGAATTAGTGTAAACACCAAATCTGTGATTGCCGACATGACAAGCAACAAACTTAAATTATTTTACTTGGATTCATTGCACAAAGTTAGCGAGTTGATGCTTTTATATAAGGATAATTTGTCAATTTTGGAAGAGTATTTTGATACTTTTTGTGAAGCTGTGTGTAAAAGATTTATAGATAAATTTGAGAAGGTAGTTGTTTGGACTGATCTGAAACAGTTGCGCGTTTGCCACTTCTCAGATGTTGTTTCTTCAACAGGAGATCAGCTGTTTTTGCAAAAGTTTGTATTTGATCATTTAACCATTTATTTTAATTTTTGATTTCAGTAATTCACCCATTACCTTTGCTGTAAAAATGAGTTCTAAAGTGGATTCAGAGGAGATTATCGTGGTGCATCACTTTTCGGAATTTCTTATCCTTCCGCCTTGCGTTTATGATAATTACGGTAAGTTTTCAATTATTTAATTACATCTATAGTAATTTGTGTTGCTTTCTAGAAATCAACTGCGATGAAAAAGATGTTAAAACATTGTATGTTACGAAACTTGTTGGTTATATTGACCATTATTAATTACTTAATTAAAAAATAAAATATATATAAATGATAATTTGATTTATTTTCTCCAAGGGGATTAGACGAAATTGAAAGGGTTGAAAGTATTGCAAGTACAGTGGGAAAAGAATTAAGTTAAACTTTAAAATTCCTCCAGTTTATTGACGAATTGAAATATAAAAGTCTATTTTATACAATAATCGTAAAAGTTTGCCTAAAAATGCTACTTATTAAAATATGATCGCTGCGGGGGTGTGCTAGTGTTACATCTAATTACTTGATTTGTTTCTAAAACCGGTACCATTTAGCAGATTTATGGAATGTTATCGAAACTACAACGTAGTAGCAACCATTTAAAAAATCAATGTCCTTGATCTCTCCTTTGATTTGTGTTCAATATTCCGAAAAAAATTGATTAACACCCTCGTGATCCTGCTGCACCTCTTCCATTTGCACCAAATGTACACTTTTTTTCCCCGTCAAATGTTTAGTCAATAAAGCACTAGAATTGAAACTCTTGAAACAAATAGAGCACGAAAACGGCCTCTCGTGAGTTTTCATATGTTTATTCAGTCTACAAGGATGATAAAACCTCATCTCGCAGACTTTACAAACATAGGGTTTATCACCTTCGTTAGGATTCCCCAAATGGTATCTTTCGTGGTTTTTTAAATCGTTTGAATTTGAATACGCCTTAGGACAAGCTTTGCAACGATAAGGCTTGTACCCTGTATGCACCCACATGTGTCTGTTCAACCTTGTAGAGCTCACAAATCCTTTTCCGCACTCGTTGCAAAGGTAGGGCCGTTCGTTCGTATGGTAGGTCCGAATATGTAATTGCAAATTATCAGACTGACTAAACGTTTTCCCGCAATAATTGCAACAGTAGGGCAGACTTTCCGCATGTAGAACCTTGTGGCGTTCTAAGTTTGATGAAATTTTGAAACCCTTGCCGCAAGTGTCACACTTGTAGGGTTTGTGGGATTGATGGGTCCGCATATGCCCTACGACGCCGGCCCACCGGACAAAACCCTTGTTGCAGATTTGGCATTTGAAGGGTCTTTCTCCCGTATGTGTGCGCATGTGGACTCGAAATGTGCTGGGATTAGGGTAACGTTTCCCGCAGATTTTGCAACCGTAATCTTTAGCGACCATGTGACCTTTCAAATGGCCAATTAGACGTTTGCGTTCTTTGAATTCTTTACGACATATGTTGCACTTGAGGTTCTTTTGCTTGCAATCGTTCAGTTTGTGGTCTTTCAATGCGGATAAGGAGTTGAACTGTTGGTTACAACTGGTACAGTTGACGGTTATTTCGAGGGGGTCGATGACGTTTGATAGGATTTTATCGGGGATTAGGATTGGTTTGATGGGGATTAGGGGCGGAGGGTCCTCTGGTAGAGTTTTCATGACTGGAGCTTCGTTATTGTCGGCTCTTTTGGTGGGTTCTAAGGGGACTAGAGGTGGAGGACCGTCGGGGAAACTTGATAGGGCTTGCTGCTGGTCTTCCTCCACTTTAACAAACTCGATGGAATACTCGCTTTCTTCCGAGATGACATTGCCTTTGTCGTCTTTGATAAAGTCGTCGATCATTTTGTTAGCTTTGACTTTACTTTTCCTCATCAAACGCGCACTTTTCTTCACTTGACGCTTGCTTAATGGAATGTCTTCTTCACTAACTTCGCCAAAATCTTCATTGTTAGATTGTTCAATCTGGGCTTCGCTGATCGCTATGTCTAGGATATCCTTTTGTTTCATTTTATTCTGTTTTAGGTACGTCCTTAAAATCCTATCGCTCCGTTCCATTTTCTTCTTAAATGTGTAAAACTTTGCAATTAAATGAAAACATGTGATGCAAACGTGGGGTGGAAGCTCGTCATCCTCACATACCTTAAATAAATTGTATTTTTTGTTGTAGAACTAATTTTAAGATAACCTTTACCTGTATTGAAGCACAATTTTCCATCATTTTTGGCAACTTTGTCGGGAAAATCTCCCTTAAATGGCCCCGTTCACTTAAACAGGTCCTACACACTTTATTCACATTGATTATTCTCATTCTAATCTTCATTTTAGACATTTCAGTGTATTAGTTTGGAATTGCTTTGTTGTCGACAGCCATCACATCAGCTGTTGTGTGCACCACATAATCCAAAAACCGCATTCAAGCCTATGAATCAAGATTTTTCTCTAGAAATTTTAAATTTGAAGCAATTTCAAAGTCATAATATAGTTTTTCAGATCATTCATATCCTTATGCCAAAAAATTGATTTGAATGCAAATTAGGAATGTTGTGTTATTATCATTGTTGCCAGTGCAGTGGCGTAACGAAGTGTCATAGAAACTGCGCAATCAGCATTATTATTTTCATTCATGTGTAAAAATAGCTTTTATTTTTGTTTATTTTATTTACAAAAATCTATCCGATTATATGTTACAGATTATGCAACAATGGTATAGGCGCGGGCAGAATAAGCGTCACCTGAGTCTTATTCACACACCCATCACTCGTCTTCACTTCGATATCCTGAACATTATTTCCAATAAACTCATCAGTAACGACTTCTGTTTCCAAATTGACAAATTCGTTCTTAAAAAATAGAGCTTCAGTATTTTGGTAGGCCTTATCCTCCATAACTTCGGTATATTTTTCTTTTTGTTTTTCACTTTTCCTTCTTTTCTTATCACATTCATGAGTCTTCCGGTGTGTCCTTAAAGTCCCACTTTGGTTGAACGCTTTGCCGCAAACATTACATCCATAAGGCCGCTCTCCAGTATGTATTCGTTCATGTTTGACCAACAACGCCCTAGACGTAAACGCTTTGGGGCAATTTGAGCAAGAAAATGGCTTTTCACCAGTGTGAGATCTGATATGGATGGTTAATTGGCCTAAAACAAGAAATTTGTGTTCGAGGCGAAGCCGAGTATGACGACATACCGGTAGTTGACATTCGCTTGCCACAAATATTGCATAACACAGGTTTATCGCCACTGTGGGTCCTCTGGTGACTTTTCATATCTGTTGATTGTCGAAACGCCATACCACAAATATGACAAACATAAGGCCTCTCATTTGTGTGTTTCCTCATATGCACTTTTAGAACACTTTGAGACATGAAACGTCCATTACAAATTGTACAAACGAATTTTTTGTCACCAGTGTGGATCCTCTGGTGGTAATGAAGGGCCCCGCTTTGGCGAAAACCCTTACCACATGTGGAACACAAGTGTGGTTTTTCCCCAGTGTGATTTTTCATATGTTCAGCTAGAAAACTGGGATAGGGGAATTCTTTGTTGCAAATATCACACGAGTGTTTCTTTTTCACGTAATTTGTATCATGGATTCTCATATGTCGTCGTAAGCTTTCTGCTGTAAGGCACCCTACAACAAAATTGCATTCGTAATGATTATTTTAATGATTATCAAAATTCATTTTACCTCTATTACAGACTTTGCATGGGAAAGGTTTCTCATCGGTATGCTTGTACTGATGCTGTTTTAATAAATATTCATACATGAATTGTTTGTTACAGTTTTTACAAAAAAATTTCTTATCTTCGTCTTTGGCATGTGATCGTTGGTGGACATTCAAGTGCATCTTTTTCGGGAATGATTGGGAACACTGATCACATTTGAAAGGATTGCCATCCTTGTGAGTGCTTTTATTATGCTTATTGAGGCTAGTTTTATTGCTGAAAGTCAATTTACATATGCTACATTCAAATACACCATCTTTCGACAAATTAAGGTCTTCTTCTGAGTTGATTAGATCACTACTTTGGTTCTTTAAATCACACTTCGTATCCAAAACTTCAACCAACTCTTTCTTCGCATTCCTAAGAATAGCATCTGAAGAAATACATATCTGGACTAAATCAAAACAGTCAAAAATTTTTGTAACACATGTAGAGCATAAAATATTCGTAAGGCCATCGTCTTCAGTTATCTACAAGTAACAAAAAAAAAATTAAAAAATAATTGTTTATCAAGAATAGTTAACCTCCAAATTTGTTATTTGGCGTAAAAAATCCACAATGTAGGTTTCACTGTCTGAAATCGTTGCGTCAAATAAATACACACCGTTTTTTGTCTCTTTAATACAGATTCGGCAGTGTTTCGCAAACTTTTCCATTTTTTGGACAATAAATTCTTGTAGTGCTTCTGTGCAGGTAAATAAATAGTAAAACCAGCAAACTGTCAAAACATGATAATATTGTCAGTGGCGTACATACTCGTTTGTTTCTTGAGTGGGGAAAAATAATAACAGTCCTATCGGGGTCGCTGTGTCTATTTTACAATTAAGATTAATTTTATTAGAGATTTTCTTTCACTTTGTACTTTTCTTAAACTATTAAAAAAATCTGCAATAACACACCACCAACAAGATTTAGCTTTGATTTAGCTTTTTGGTTAATACAATAAGTCTAAGTAAAAAAGATTAAAAAGAATCAAACTTTAATTAACCGTTCAGATATGTTTGATGACAACATTTTTAAACAAACTTAAATGTATAACCTACCTACAGATACAAAATATGTTTAACATAAACAATTATCAGTTTTGTACTTATGATGTAAAAAGAAAGAATTATGGTAACTGTACAAAAAAAATACAGAGGATACATACCTATATGTATAAATGCCTGATATACATTTAAGTATCTCATTTTATATAACACAAAATTCTAAAACCCTTACAACTTATTGGAATTTTGAGACAAAAATAAAACTGTTGTATAAAAATGTATGTATGTTTTAATAAATATAAAAAACTAACGCTTATCTAAGGCTTCCCCACAACAACTGGCTCAATTGTGGTTAAATTAGAGTAAAAATCTTAAACAGGCTACGTTGATCCATCACACATTACACACGATGAATTTTTATTTTACAAAATTACTTAGAAATCTATTTATAAACTACGAATTTAAAGCTGGTTTTAATAAGCACTAACAGTACGTGACGACAGTATGTCAGTTCAGATTATGCCTCGCCTTCATATGCAACTTGAGATGATACTTCCTCGAAAGAACGGCTTTACAAATCGGACATCGAGTATTTCCGGCATGGACCGGTTTATGCTGTTGCAGACTGTACGGATGCGAGAAGACTTTATTACAGATGTTACACTTGACAGTATTGATGGGCCAAGAGGTGCTCTTACTCGCCTTTGCTGGAACAATACATTTAAACGTTATGTCGTGCTTTCATGTGCATTTTCAAGTTGTATTTTCGCGATAGTACGGCGTGACATATCGGACATTGCGTATTGCCCGAATGCACCGCTTTGTGATGGTGCAAGCTGTACGGATGCGAGAACATTTTGTTGCAAATGGAACACTTCAAGCAGTCCTCGGAAAAATTACTCTGTTTGATTTTTGTGTCGATATCCAGTACCGTTGGCGATTCGAGAATTGTCCTCTCAACTGGAAAACAATACTACATCAGGATGGTAACTCACATCTGCAAGACTTGTAAAAGGAACGCTTCTTAGACAAGACAAATCAGCGGCTTTACTGAATTTTATGTTTTTGTTTCGTTACATTTTACAAGTCTTACGTAACAATGTAACTATCACATAACAACAGTATAATCACTAAAATACAAATTATTCACGTACAGAACTTTGTGTTAATTAAAGCAGAAAGCTTGCAGATGGACGTTACAAATCCAGGTGTTGGGTATTGTCTTTTTAAAATAAAATTAATGTCTTATTTTATTTAATCACCGGTGATTTTTTCGGTTATATGATTTCATTTTTGGATACCGATAATAGATCTGTCACCAAATTGTAAACACGAATTTCAAAACGATAATGCATAAATATATTAATGAGTCATCAAATAATAAAGGTGTTGAACTATACAGATATATTTCATAATGAATAATTATCTGAATTTTTAATAATTGCGATAAGCAACAAACTGTCCTAATAAGGTATTAAATAAAATTTGCATTTGCATACTGTCGAAAATTTTCCTTCAATTTTAAAGAAAGTAACTAAATTACTGGCAAATTTGTAAACGAATTAATTGTTGCTCTTACACTAGAGACAACAAAAGAATAAAACATACAAAAACAATTTATTGGTTTGATTTTCATATTATTTTCACAAATTCGACGGATGTACATGCTCCTCATTTGCATTTATTAGATTGTAATCGTAATTGTAATAAGCCGAGCGTTGCATTTAATAAAATAATACTTTAAACATCTCCAATATATTTTGCCATATTTTTTTTTATTAGTTCTATATGTAAAACCGTTTTAAGAGAGTCTTCGACCATTATTTTCCACTTTCGGAAGACGACTTCTACTAAATTTTCATTAATTCGTTTCGCTACAGAATACAACGAAAGTTTATTTTAGGTTTTCAAAAACGTATTAAAAAGTAGTAAAGTATTAAATTACAAGTCTTTAAAGAACGGTAAAATAACTTTTTGATAAATATTAACGTAATCTCTCCAATGTCTTTATTTTTTTGTGAAATTTAAAAGAGCATATATTATTCGCCCTTTAACACATGAAATAATAAAATTAAAAAATAATTAATAATAATAGCCATTTAGCAATTTATTCAAGACTTTCTGGCCTAAACTTTTTGGAATATTTAAATCAATGCAATTAATAATTTAATAATAAAATTAATGAAAATATTTTCGTTTGAAATGACTAACTAGCATAGAAATTCAATCTCATATACATTTTGTGTGAAATCCCAAATTTCTAATAATTTTTTAGAGGTAAAAAGCAATAAATAAATACTGTAGATAATTAAAATTACTTACTTTTGATGTCCTCCTCGCAGCCCCTTTGACCTAAACCGATAGATTTTAAGTAATAAAACGCATCAAAATTAGGTTTCCTTACCCGTCCCAAAAAATTCCCTAGTATCATTTGATTGTTCAGTTTGTAAAAGTGGATCCTCCAAAGGATCCTCATAATTAACAAACTCACTGGGTTCTGATTTAATATCAGACATAAAAAGTGTATCACTTTCTTGTCTACCCAGTTTAATCTGCGTCTGTGTTACTTCCGGTTCCTGTACTCTTCTCTTAATCGCTTTTTTAGGATCTTCACTCGCTGTTGATACTAACAACAAAAATCAACTCATTGACTTGCAAATTCGTAAAACTTACTTGAAATTTGTTCTGTGAAAGTTTCCTGTGTCGGTTCCCTAGTAGTGGCCGTTTGTGCATTTTGTTCACTATCACTTGTAAGTTTGTCACTGGTGTCATCGGTGAGTCCACTGATTTGCAACAACTGAGCGGTTTTTAAAAAAGAGTCTAATTTCGAGGTATCGACACTAACTTCCCCATTGTAAATAAAATGAAGTATATCTGATAAAACACTATATTCCACCCCGTATAAAATGATCACTGGGTGTTGGCAAGGCACGTCTTTGAAAGTGTCCCGGAAGTAGGTGCTACATGCGGAAAGGAGCATTTTGTGCGCCCTAATCTTCCGCCCTTCACAACACAAAGTAACATCGGTTAATTCGTTTGAGGTTAATAAATTATCAAACGCTTTTCGGACATGGTCCATGTGGTTTTTCCAGTTCACGGAATATTCTTTATTGGAATCAGAGTTCATTTTGATCACTGGTGGTTGTCACTTAAAATGAACGTTGAAGAACTCGTAAACATTCGGTTACAGTTAACTAGATGGCCACAGGGAGGTCAATCCCAGTTCAAAAGGTCAATAATTACGTCACAACTTCGCTGTATTTTAACCAGCAAGCGAAGAAATGGCTTGGAAACATCCACAGTTTATATAACATGCAATTTCCACGTTTTGTAGCTCAATTATTCACAAATTAATAATAAAATAAATGCAGAAACTGTCAAAAAATTACTGTCAAACGGTCATGACTTTTCGGAATAAACATGAATCGTTTTTTGGGAATTAATTCGTGCGGTTTTAAAGATTTTCATTCCTAATTTTTCTTATCACTTTTCCAATTAATTATTTATTACTTATATTTTTTTAATTGGGACACGCTAATCACTAATCAGTAAGCACTCAGACAAGTAAATTTGTCGCCAACATAACTTGTTAAAAACCCCAGATTTGACATTGTCAATGGTCATTGAAGTCATTGTCAAATAAACGTCAAAAAAGTAAATAATTAGCAATGGCGCGTCAAAACAATAAAAATGTTTTTTAAATGTTTACAATGAATTACAGTAAAGAAACGCAATAATTTTAGGCCGCGAACGTCAGGGCTACAATCATGTTCGAAGTCAGATGATAAAAATAATTTTTTATGGAAAATATGATGGAATGTTTAAACGAATTGTTGATGCATGCTATCATTCAGAATGATTTAAAATGCCTCAAGTGTTACTTAAAGAGAGGTATGATTCAAATCACAATATTACATAAAATGATTTAAGTTTAATTAGGTGTAAACATAAACAAAATCTGTTCAACTGGAATGACCCTCTTGGGAGTTGCAGCTGAGACAGGGAATCTCTCAATAGTCAAAACACTGATTGACTATTCCAATTGCTCCAGTATTGATTTCAGTATAAAAAGTGAGATAAGCACAAAATCAAACCTTTTACTAGATTTAAATAACCCAGAACCAAAGTACAAAAACATTGGCTATTTTGTTGTACGGAAAGATGTTGAAGAACCCGATTTTGGGGAAGGTCCCACCCCTGAGGGCATGGAAGCCCTGGAATGGGACATGGAAGTTAACACCGAATCCACAGAACCTGAAAAAGAAGAACCCCAAGAAATGAACATCTACCAATGGTACGCTAACATCCTAAATCAGAGTTCTTTAGTTCTGAAATCACCAGATAACGACATTGCGCGACTTGATAGTCACGGTAAAAATGTCTTACATTACGCTGTGCGATCGGGTAACATGGAACTGGTCAGATACCTAGTTGAAACATTTAATGAAATCAGCATAAATCAAAGCGACGCCGCCTCAGTGAGCCCCCTACACATTGCAGTCTTCAAATGTCATCTTCCCTTGGTTCGCTACTTGGTCGACAAGGGGGCCAACGTGAACTGCGCTTGTCGCGAACGCCAGACACCCCTGCATGTGGCCGCCCAGCATGGATACATTGAAATCATGCAAGTTTTGATAGAGAACGAGGCTGATATCAACGTTTTTGATATGAAAGAGCGTTCGCCTCTATCTCTAGCTGTGTTGGGCTCTAGGGAAGCTGCAGTGGAATTGTTGATAAAAAACGGGGCCAGACTTAATCAGGAGGATGCGGCGGGATACACGCCCTTGAGAAGAGCAGTTTGGAATGATTCCACACCAATCGCGATGATGTTACTGAACGCAGGAGCGAGAGTTGTGCAGTCACATTACTTACTGCATGCCGCCGCAAGAAGTAATAATCCGGAGATGGTCAAGGCATTGCATGAAGCAGGGGCGCTTTTGAATATAAGGGATGATCAAGGGAATACGCCGTTGATGGTGGCGTGCTCGAGGAAGAACTTGACAGTGGCGAGATATCTACTCAAAAATGGTGAGGTTTGCGTTATGTAATTAGTTGACAGTGTTTGGTGTTGTGCAATTTTTTCGTAATTAATTTTTCTCTAGGTGCCAACGTGAATGCCGTAAACAACATCAACGGCATGACGGCTCTCCACATTTGCGTACAAGACATCCGCGAAAAGCGAAGTTTGGAGCATTTAATCGACCTTTTGGTTTCCTACGGCGCCGACATGAACGCAACAAGCTACCAGGGAAGTGTCCTCTTCTACTCCATTATTTTAGAAAATCTCCATGGGGCCGATGCGTTAGTTCGGCACGGAGTTGATGTCAATTTACGCGACGAACGAGCTTATTTCGATAATTTAAGTCTTGCGAAAAGACACGGAAATCTCGAATTGGTCAAGTTGATAGTTTACGCCGGCTTTCGTTTATCGAATATGGCCTTTGAATTGAATTCGTTACGGAATCAACCTGACGATCCCGTACACGATTTTTTGGTTTACGTGAAAAGCACACCCTTACAACTCAAGGAAATATGCAGGATTAAAATAAGAGGGTGTCTCGGGCGACATCTTCTGAGTAAAATCACCAAGTTGCCGTTGCCGGTGTGGTTGCAACGATACTTGGCTTTAGAAATATTGTGAAATGATCTCTGTATTAATGTAACAAGTGTGTAGCTTCAGTATTCAAATCTAGTAGATTTTCACGAGAGGACCATTGTGTGTTGCCGTTGATAGAAAGAAGTAGTGTTCTTAAATATATGCTGAGAGGTTTAAAAGTGGGCTGGAGAAACCTGTTTCAGTTGACACAACATCAAGTTTTGGCAATTATTATGAAAAAAAAATCTTCAATTCTGTTGCCAACTCAAACGTTGCTTCTTGATAAAACACAAAGATTGTTGCACCCATTTCTAAACCATATGTGTACTTAGATCACCCCAGCATTCCCTCCTTTACCCGATTATAGTCACTAGTCAGTTTAATATATATTTTGTTCTTATAAAAAATAGATATACAATTTATTAATTTTGTGATATTGTTGTAGTGATTAGGATGAATAAATTTTTGTATTAAAGTGGTTTCTAATACCAACAAACATAAAACGGGAGCAGATGTTTCACAGCTATTTATTGGGTGTTATTTTACACAGAAAAGTCAACACCGATGTGTTGGTAGGATATGCTTACGATTATTGCAAAATTACATAAAATGTTGTTGGTGTGTGTGAGTGCAGCCTTTATTAATCTCACTAAATATATATGACCCTACAATGTTAATTTTGGTACAAAATGTGAATACACGAATTTAATAATTTGGCGAATAATAAAAATACATTTTGCTTAATTTAATAAAGAGACGAATTCGGTAGTTTGGACGTAGTCAGCCGGTCTTTTACCATGAATATCCACTTCGTTTCGTAAACTTGGCTCGATTTGAAGTAAATATTCACAAATTTGTAGATGTTTACTGGCGGCAGCTCTGTGTAAAGCTGTTTTTCCATCGGCATCCTTCAAGCGACAGTTGGCTTTCTTTTCCAACAGAAACTTCACAATTTCAAACTTTCCTACAACAAATTATTTGAAACAATGTGCAATGGAAATAATGCAAAATTTACCAACTGTTGCTGCTCGATGTAATGGCGTCGCTTTGCCCTGACACGTGACTGCATCAACGCAGCCCCCCCGGTCTATAAGGAGTCTGCAAACATCCAAATGACCGTTCCTGGCGGCATAATGTAGAGCTGTGTAACCCGCAGCATCCCTCTGATCCACTCGAAAACCTTTATTTAACAGATGCAAGGTCCTATCGAGGTCGCCGTATTGCGCTGCCGACCATAGTCCACGCTCGAATTCTAGCTCATCTAGTGACTGAGATACAGAATTTGGTCCTGAATGCCCCCCGCATTCGCACATGGTGTTATGTCTGAAAGAATGTTGAATTGTTCTCTATTTTTAGAATTTTATTGGGCGTATTATGAAATTATTGCGGTTTGATTTTCCGAAGCAGATAAGTGAATTTAATTGTCATCTTGAATTAAGCACCACAGTTACGTTGTAGTGATAAAAAAAGGAGGAAAAAAGTTCAATTAGTAAGGTTAACGAACTTAAATATTGCACAACAACAGGCAATAAATAAATTCGTGAATTCATAAAAATGAAAAATCTTATGATTTGTAACACTTTCAAATTGCAAATAAAATCTGAAACCAATGATGCGATTCGTAAGCTGTTCTACAAATATAATTTTACTGTTTGTTTGAATTATTGATATTGCTAAAATTAACTTTTGTTTAAATAAAGATAACAGCTTACTTTAACACCACATTTTAACGTTATCGTCAAATTCGAACACATACACAAAAAGCGATTATATTTATTTGTCCAAAAAGAGATAAATCCCTATTCTTATCACGCTCTTATAGGATAATTGTCGAATAAAGTCTTATAATGTTATAAACATTTGGAATTGCATTGTGTGGGACCACATACTCGTAAACAATAAGTAATTTATTTTCATGAGTGACTCAGACAAAAATTTACTTTGTCGATAAATGAATAAAACCTCTGTTAAATGAACTTTTTTCATAAGATGCATTTTGACTTAAATTAGTAGTAGTTAATAGCATAAGTCAAAGAAAATACCAAAATAAAAGATTACCCTGAATTTGAAATACCTATTTCTCTAAAGAAAGATATTTTTTATTTAAAAAATTTAAACAGAAATATCTGTAGGTATACTTATTTATTGCAATCGGGTAAGGCATTTGTCTTTAGTTAGTTAATTCGAAACAAAGGAATAATTACGCGCAATAACCACTGCTAAAATTTATGACTGTTGTAGTAAAAACAAAAGATAAGAATGTGTTCAATTAAAATCAAAATTCTTAAATTATGAACTAGTTAGTCGAAATTATTTTTATCGATGCATTTAGGTATTTAGCTGTCTCAAAATTAGCATTTTGCCTTCTTGGACCAGCGACATTTTTTATAAAACCAATGTTGAAACCTATAATAAATAAATTACTTAATTGTTAAGAAGATTTTGGACTATCATATGAGAAATGCGTTCGTTCTTCATTGGGTTCCACTGGATTTTAGCATACAGGGTGTGTCAAAACTCACGCCCCAGAAAAAAATTTCAAGTAAGATACCAGAACATGCAAAAAATGTTTAAAAAATTCTGACATTTTACAAGTACTTTATGTTTGAATCTTTCTTTTGTAGGCAAATATATTTTTGATAATTATGACTTTTATTATAATTACTTTACATATTTAAATGTTCTAAATATGTGAAGAATTCAGATAGACACAGCTTGACTATTTTTTTGACATATTTTTTCACTACATTCTTTCTTTTTGTTTAAGATTTGAGCCGGATCGAGGGTGATGCGAGCGAGTACTTGTTCCAGTAGAAAAAGGCGCCAAAATTCGGCCAAATTAATAAAAATAATATTCAATAAAAAGAAAAAAAGTCAGAACAAAATTAATTCGTAACGTGTTTTCTGTTTGTAAAACTTTTGCCTCAGGTGAAATTGTATCTAAATCCGACTCCGTAAGATGTTTTTTTGTTTATTGATTGTGTTATTTTGTAGGACAGATTTCACGAAATATCTTTATCTGATAACAGAGAGGAAAGTTGACCGATTTCTCCAAGAAATGCAGTTGCAACAGGTTACTTACCTTACTCGTAAATAAAAACTTTTAAATCTAGTTTAATTAAACCACTGTCTCTCAAAGTAACAAGTTTCTGTTACACAAAAAGTCACAATAGTCTCACACACACGCCACTTGTAATTAAATATCACGTTGCAAAGTCCAGACAATTTCGGCTTCGCCCGTGGTCCCGACCACCCTGTACCCCAGCTGCCCCAAGGCATTGATCACTTGCACCGGCGTCGCTTTCAGCAAAATCCCATTAATCACTTCCTTTTTATAACTCTCGAATCGTTTCACTAGTGCAACGATTTCGTCCTCGTTGAGGCCAAAAACGGCACTATCTGCGGCATGCAAGGAGGCCTTCACAGCCACATATGCGTAGGTTCCCGTCGACATGAGTAGGCTCGCCGGTATCTCCATTTCACGACTGACTAGTCCTCTTTGAGCTCAGGGGCGGCGCCAACGTCGCCGACGGGGGGCTCCGGCTCGGCGAAATCCTTGCGCATCGTCCACATGTACTCGTTGTAGTCCTGCTTGACGGAGGTGGAGGAGGAGGCCACCACCTTGTAACCGAGCACTTCGAGCGCGGTGAGGATCACGCAGGGGTGCTGCATGTACACGATGGTGCAGTCGTCGCAGTAGCCCCCGGAGGCGAAGCGATTGAGCTGTTCGATGTCGGCGGTTTTGAGGCCGGAGACAAGGACTCGCCAGGGGTATCGCTGTCCGTAGGCCGCCAAGTTGCCGCGAACTAGGATGTAGGGCATGGGGCACGCCTCCCGGTTACCGGATGACGATTCCTTACTGATAACACGCTTATAACATTATTAGAGCGCTGATATGTGTCGGGGGGTTATCACAGAGGAATGCACAACACGGGGGTTTATTTAAAAATTACACTAACGACATACCTTATTAGAAATTTGGTTAGAGAATGAACGAGGATGGAAAAAGCAGTTTGCTTGAGACTAGACGGAGGTTTTTTACTTCACGTCATCAAGGTCGTAAGTAGAATGACGTTAGGTAATAGACAGGACCGGCTTTGGTTCGAGCCAAATGGGCCCTCCATGTTAGTTGTTGGAAAATGAAAATTTCTCACTGATATTGTGTGGATCTATTGATTTTTTTGTCTATTTGCTTTGTATTGTTTTGCAAGTAGGCCAGTAAACAGTTTCATGTTAACAATATTGTTCTAGGAAAATAATGTGAAAAAGTTGCTTTCCCATTTATGGCGACAATAAAAATGGCAACTTAATTAATGATAAGTGTTTTGCAAGTGTAAATATCTACGGAAACGGTGCAAATCGTAAAAAAATATTATCTAAACAAACAATGAGATAAAACATACACTGACTGAAAAAGTTATTGAGAATAACTCAAAACCGTTTTGGTGGTTTCTAGGGAGAATCAAAATGACAAGGTAAGTGGTTTTGAGTGATCCTCAATAGCTTTTTCAGTTCTAGAGATATTGCCGATTGCAAGTTTTAAAATTGACACCCTGTATATCACAGTGTTGAAATAATTATTAGCTACAACTTCAGTTTCATTCTTTTCTGAGAATTAGTTTGAAATAATTTAATTTGTAGTGTTTCTGATAATGAAATAACTGATAACACCTTAAAGCATTCTAAAGTGAATCATTTTACGTGGAAAGTTTGATAAACTAATCGATAAAAATGAAAATATTGTAATATTTCAGTTGTTATCAATTTTTTTTAAACCTCACGCTTGTTCATGCAGTCACCTCACTGGCAAAAACACTTGATTTGTATGTAAGAGATGAATCTGTGTTACTGCTGAATCCTACTCTGACAAATTTAGACACAAAAGCTTCACTTTTTTCTATACAGAAAAAGCCTTATGAAAAGTGACAAATTGGTAAAAAAAAGTCCGGAACTCCAGAGTTATAAGTTCTTTGATTAGTTTATAAAATGTTTGCGCCAGAGGTTTGTTTAAATGATTTCTAGATTTCTTATCTATTAGTAAATAAATTAAATATTTAAATAAAAAGGAGATAATAAGATATGTTTGGTATAATTTTTTTTTGCTTTCAAAGAACTAACGAAATGTAATTGCTTGTTTGTTGTTACGATAGCGTAGGTACATTTTCTCCAAAAAATGTGATGCTGTTAAATGTTCTTGTTAAAACATGATTCTATTTAATATTTACAAAAATAAATAGAATTTTTGTTGTGATTTGTTATTTAATTTTTCATTTTGAGTCAGTTATAAATGTTATAACTGCAGGTTCTTGTCATAAATTTTAAAAGAAAATACGGTCCTGTATCTACCTTTTTTATGTAGGTAATTAATGTGATTAATTATTATTTATAATACTAATAATTAATCTAACCCATTCTTTATGAAAAGGCAAAAGGCCTTTGCCTTGAGTATCTAATTTTAATGTAGACTCGTTTCTAAAATGCGACAGCGAACAGGGGATTCCCTAATTTTAAATCAAAATTGGCCACCAAATAAAATATGGGTAGTAATAAAGTGCTCAGTAAATAATTCGATTTTAATCAGTATAAAATCATAAATGATCAGTATTTAATTAATTTTTGCACAGTAGAAAAATAAAAATGATCAGTATAATATAATATTTTGCACAGTAAAAATAATAAATGCTCAGTACGTTTAATCAAAATTAGCAAAATAACATAAAATTTAAGGAATTTTCAGTCTTGGTTACATAACATTGTATGACTCCTGCGCAAAAATGTTATTTATTATTATTGTAGAGTGGTAGATGTTTTAGCAAGGGCCCCTGCGCAAGAATGATTTTAGCAAGAGCTGAAAACTGTGCACAAATGGTAACAATCAGTCTAATCAGCGTACGCCACTTTTTGCACTGTTGGGCTCCTGAATACACAATTTTGTTTTTGAACCGTTTGCGTCATTCCAGTTTTGCTCGGAAACATTTTGTTTGTAAATGTGTGAATATTAAATTAATTAGTTTTACTAGACATTAATTTGTTTCCTTTACTGTGCATTTATTAGTTTACTGTGCACTTATTATTTTTACTGATCAAAAATATTGACATTTTAAATAATATACTGTGCATTTAATTTGCTGCCATAAAATATTGCTACAATAGAGAGTGTTGACCATCAAATGTTGACGATAGCTGTTGACAGGTGCAGACGGCAGTGTATTTAGACAAGAAAATGTCTTATCAGTATATCATCCGACTCGTCATGTTCATTTTTTTTTCTTCACAATATTTACAACACACTATACTATTCTACTACTGTAAAAACTAAAAACGTGCAACACAACAATGTTAAACGTAAAATAAACAAACATTAAGCTGTGTTCACAAGTGTGTACCAATTACGTAATATTTACGCGGCTATCATTAATGTGAATCGGTTTTAATTTTAAACGTAAAGTCAGTTTTATTTGGAATAGATTTTTATCAGCTGGTGTCTGACAGACATTTCTGCCAACTATTAAATCAAAATTGTTAATTGTTATTCAAAGTCTAGAAGTGGTCTAGAAGCGATCGATAACCTAAAAATATGGAGTTCAAAGTTTTCTTGTTTCGCAATTTTTAAAAAGTCTTAGTTTAAGTCGAAATTTCCAAAAATAGCTCAAATATGCAGAACGTTATCAATAGTGTGAAAGGTACAGCCCTTGGCGTTGCCGAATATCTAACCCCGATTTTGAAGGTAAAGTATAGTTTACTTATCAGATCTGCAGTCAAAAAAATAAGTACGTTGTAGGAATCCAAATTTAAAGAGACGGGAGTTCTTACCCCCGAAGAATTCGTAGCTGCAGGTGATCACCTCGTGCATCATTGTCCCACATGGCAATGGGCGGCTGGTGATGAAAGCAAAGCCAAATCCTACTTACCAAAAGACAAGCAATTTCTGGTCACAAGAAACGTCCCATGTACACGTAGGTGTGAGCAAATGGAATACTCAGAAGACTTGGAAAGAATCATTGAATCAGATGATGCTGATAATGGCTGGGTTGACACCCATCACTATGATCAGGATCAAACAACGGCCGTCGTTGAGGAGAAAATCTCCGAAATGACTCTCAGCAACTCCAAGGTAAAAATAGATCAAGGAATGCACTTGTTGAAATTTTAATTTAACAGGGAGAGAGTATGGAAGAAGCGGCCCTAAATGATGGGGAAAACCACGATGACGACGACGATGATGATGAAGCCGCAGATATGGAAGCTTTTGAGGAGAGTGGGATGCTAGATGATGCACAGGTTAGTAAACTGAAACTAGACGAATTAAGTCACCTCAAATTTCATCATTTAGGCTACTACAGTGATTCAACCAAAAGTAGCAGTGAAAAAAGATGTAGATGAGGATGGTGAAATAATCCATACACGCACATACGATTTGCATATTACTTATGATAAGTACTACCAAACTCCGCGACTGTGGCTTACTGGCTACAATGAGGTAAGAGGCATCTCTTTTGAACACGCAGATTTTAACTATTTCTTGCAGCATCACAAACCCCTCACTGTTGAAGAGTTGTATCAAGATGTAAGCAAAGATTATGCGATGAAAACGGTAACAATGGAGACACATCCGCATCTAAGTGTCCCTAAAATGGCTTCAGTCCATCCCTGCAGGTAAATAATTTCAATTTCAGTAATTGATGATTCATTTGTTATTGATTTAGACACGCTGAGGTCATGAAGAGCATCATCGAGACTGTAACTGAAGGCGGCGGTGAGTTAGGAGTACACATGTACCTAATAATATTTCTAAAATTCATGCAATCGGTTATCCCAACTATAGAATACGATTATACTCAAAACTTCACGATGTAACGGGAGTTGATAGCTTCAATTTACTCATTGTGCTTTTTATTGTTATGTTTATTATTAAATCGGCGGTTTTTTTATTATATTTTTCTATTAAAATGCTTGTGTAATAAATATACATCTTGAAAATAAATTATACAGGCTCCCAATGTATAAAATGCACACATAAACTTGCTCCTTAGGGCATACTAAGATATTGCGGATTTATAGAATCTTCAATGTTGTACGTTGTTACTAAACACATATTTTGATTATCTTCAGCTACGAATTGAATGTTATTGTCCACTTTTGGATCGTCATCAGAGAGGAATTGTATGCTGCTTGATAATAACTGACCTTCAATTGGGACGTCAATAGTTTTCTGTAAAGAAACAAAGTTATTTGATATTTTCTAGACGGAAAAGATGATACCTGAGTATCCTCGATTTGAGTCAGTATTGGTTTATTTTTCTCCGGTACCGTTGTCAAACTAATTGGTACCAACGTGCCATCAGGGAGTAACCCTTGGATGTTTTCTTGCCCATCCTCGTTACTTGTAACAACCTTAACTTGTTGCCCATCTTGGGTAATAAAACTAATAGGGTTACCTTCCTGATCGACAAGTTGTTGCAATTGTATCGTTTTGACACCGTCTATTTCTTCAGCGACGTTAATTATTTCGTTTGTTTCGACCACTGTATCTTGTGGTTCTATATACGTAACAATAGCATCACCACCGTCTTTTTCATACGTGACAAAAAGCATTTGTTTGTCTGAAATCAAATACTGTGAAAAAAAATTTAAGTATGACTCGGAAATACCTTTCAAATTCCTGTGAGTTCGTCGATGCTTGGCCAAATTCGAACTATCCGCGAAGGCTTTAGAACACAAGTCACACTTATAGGGCTTTTCCCCCGTGTGTAACCTCTCATGTTTTTTCAAAGCCCAAGCTTCAGGGAACGTCTTGGGACACTGTTGACACTTGAATGGCCTCTCGTCAAAATGCCGTCTCATATGACACCTCAAAGTGACCTTATGTAGAAAACTTTTTTGACAATACTCGCACCTGTGGGGCCTTTCATCCAAATGTCGTTTCTTGTGAAGTCTAAACTGCGACGAAGTCGTGAAAGCCCTTCCACAGTGATCACACTGGTAGGGTTTTTCCCCCGTATGTATCCTCCTATGTTCCGCCAAATTCCCCTTCTGCGAGAACGACTTCTTGCAAAACTCGCACTGGTAGGGCCTCACCCCCGAATGCCACCTCTGATGCAGCTTGAGGGCGGTTTTATGTGCGAAGGCCTTATCGCACTGCGAGCACCAATGGCTGCGTTGCCCGGAATGCACCGTCCTGGTGTGGTGAATGAGGTTAGCCCGCGTTTTGAACGCGGAGTTGCACTGAGAGCACCGATGAGGCCTCTCGTCGGAATGCACAAGTTGGTGGCGTTGGAGCAGCTGGCGGTGCTTGAACGGCTTGTCGCATTTGTTGCAGACGAAGCGTCGGCCGTTGGTATGCTCCGAGTCGCGGTGGTACTGCAGACTGCTGGGATGCCGAAAGCTCTTGGGACACGAGGGGCACTTGTACTGGGCACTGGAGTCGTCGTCGGGACCTGTTTTAGGGAAGTGTTGCAGAAGGTGGACTTTGAGGCTGTTGGCGTACGAAAAGCGCTTGTTGCATAGTTCGCAAGCGAAGGGGCGCTCACCGGCATGGACGGCCTTGAAGTGGACCTCGTAATTCTGTTTGCAGGAAAAGGACTTGTGGCAGTTTTCGCAAGTGAACTCCTTTTTGGGGGCGGGGGGAGGAGGCTGCTCGAGCTTTGACGCTTGGCTGGGCTTGAGGTCTGTAGGCAGCTGGATAGTCCCCTGAAATATCTGCCTTAGTTTGGCATTCAGCGTCCCAAAATATACAAAAGTAAAAGTGAGTTTTAGTGCCCATTATTCTTTCAAGAGTTAAATTAAAAGCGAATTTCGAAATTAAGACAAATGGCTTGGAACCGCAAAAATCCACAATTTGAACATAAATGCCATAAACATACATATTTATCAACTTTTTCCGACACTGTGTGACCAGAGTGGACACTTTCCTGCTGGTGTTGCTCCAAAAGCGACTTTTTATCCGTTGTAAAACTACAGCCATCTTGAGTGCAGTTGTATTCCACGTCGTGCATTTTTTTGTGTAATTCGTATCTCCCATGGTGTAAAAATTCGCGACCACAAATATCACACTGGTATTTTCGTCGTCTTTTTGATTGTCCCGCTATACCTACACCAAAAAAATGTGTCAAATATTTAACTTATTCAAATCAAAATTGTTACTTTTATTTCTAGGGCGCGTTTTATTCAAAGTTTTATTTATGATAACTGGTTGGCCCAAATCTTCACCGTTTTCGGTCTCAAGACGTCCAATTACTTCTTCAACTTTATTTGAGTTTTCCCCTTCTTCTAAAATTGTACCATCTTCATCTGATACAGATTCTTCATCTATTACGCCTTCCTGTTTAAAAACTTTATCTAATTCTTTCCCTTGAATTGCCTCAGAGTATCTCGTTGGGACTTTAATTCTTCGTTTTCTTTTACCGTCTTCTGTAGTTTCTTCAAATTGGTCTATTTTCTCATCAACTTTAGTATTATCTTTTTCATTTGCTTTTAAAAGTTGGTCTTCTGTATTGGGCGGTTGTGGAGGTTTTGGCGGTCTACCACGTTTCCTTCTAGGTCTAGTAAGACCCTCAGCCTTTAATGACAATTCATGTTCAGGAGGAAATAAGGGTCCTTGTGAAAAAACTACAAGAACAAAAATGTCATTTGAAAATTATAAAAAATTCCAAGTGAATACTTTGTATTAAAAATTTCTCTCCAGTCTCATCAGACTGTATGGTGTAAGTATCCACGCTTGAACTGGGATTAACACTCTTCAAAGCTTCCTCAAGTTGTAGTCTCTGCTTTTCTTGTCGATACAATTTGTCTTGTTGCAATTTATACAATTGTCTCAGTTTTATTTGGCCTTGGACTATCAAGTCCATGAACGATTTCGTCGCTTCCAATTGGATGTTACAACCTGGGCAAATTTTAGTTGGAAACTTTCGGTCATTCTCGATCTGAAATTGGAAATTCAAATCTCCCGCCCAAAAATACAGTAAGTAATAAAGGAATCAAAGCAGGTTCCGTTAATTGTATTTAGTGCTCACCTTTAATGGTAAGTATCTGTTAACGAGTTGACTTAAATCTGGTTCGTTTTCTCTTGTAGGAAACAATTCAGTTCCGTTCACATTTTCCTCACCGCACAATCGACAAAGAGACATTTCACATATCAAGCCTGTCAACTCCATTTTGTTTCCCAGTCTTTCGTTCGTCGTCGAAAATTTCCGATGCAGAAGAACCAATAGGGAGCAAAAACGCGATCACGTGGTTTTTGATTAGAAGTAATGATTAGAAGAAGCAAAAAGTTTCAATTAATCAATAAAATGTTCTGATTAGTATAAAATAATTAATCGACTTATCGATTACAATAAAAATACGAATCGAAAAATACTGCAAAATTCTTCGGAAAAAGATTTTAAAAAATGTTTCGAAAACGTAATTGCAAATTTGTGTACAGTTTTTAGATTTAATCTATTGTACAAAATAAATAGCTTACGTTTTATTTTGTATTGTGGTAATTTTGGAAAATATAGCAAACCGCTTAAATCCACCAAAAATACTAAATGGTGTGTATTGTTGGTTGCCTACATTAAAATTTTATTTATTAAAAATAGTCAAATGATCACATTCTTTTGTTGATATCATTAAGTTTGTATATTTTTATTATTTTTTATTAATAATCGAAGTGAAATGGCAATATTTCCTATAAAATGGATTTTACAAACTTATTAAATCTATACCTATTACCTTTTTTAATTTTATTATTCAAAAAAATTCACATTCAAAGAGTTATTTCTTTTGTTTTTATAAATTTTTAAACAGCCAGTCATTCATTCTGCATAATGATGGTACTGTTAAATTATTTATATGTAAGTTACATTTTTTGTATCCTAACACTATCGATTATTAATTATCTTATACAATCGTAGTACAGTTCAATAAACTTATTTAAAGAACGACCTGTGTTTTTTATTATTTTATTAAATTTGTTACTTTTATAAAACCATTTTGTCCACTTAATTTATGATTTATGATAATTAATTTATTATTATTTTTTAAATTTAAGTTATTTAAGTTTGTTCGTTGATTATAACTCGTAAGTATAACTGCGTTAACTGATCTCACCCTTTCCAAAATTTAGAAAAAATGAATAAAACACCGGTTCTTACAAAAAAAGTAACAACAGCTTTGACGTCTACTTAATCAAGTGATGTTTTTTGAAATGGTTGTTTCATTTTGAAACTCCGAAATGGTTTAGTAAATGTATTAACTTATTAAATTAAAATATTAAAACAATTAAGTGGTAGTTAAATTTTCCAGTTTATTTAACTCGAAACACATTTAACCGTTAATGAATTTGTTAATGACTAATATGTTTAATCAATTATAAAATCAAACTCATTCAGTGTTAAATTTACTTAGACTACACATCGCTTAAAGGTAAACATACGAGCGACTGTAATTGATTTAGTAAGGGCCTACACGAAAATGTTGCGCTGCTTTTAGGAAAGAAAATAACAATTTTGTGTGAGAACACGGGAACTGAATTTTAAACAAGTTACGTTTTTCACCTTAAAGAAAACGAATAAAAAGTTCGTTTAGATTTATGCGCACTGATAAAAGCCAAAAGAGAAATTCTAAAAATCCAAACAATCTAATGGGAATTATTCATAGGGGAAATTTATCATTTTTGCATGAACCCCAAAAGCGGATGTCAGATAAAAGTTAATTTTTACGTGAAATAATAAAAAAGGGCGACTTATTAATTGCAATATACTTACTAGAATTCAAAATGTACTCAAACAACGAAAAAACTGTCAAAGCTAATACAGCTATCACTATGTTTATAACTTTGAAAAATTTCAAACAGTAAGTATATCAATTAACGCATGTGGTATCTGAGAATGTGTTTTGGGTTGCGTTTGTATGAAAATTGCCCTTTATTATAAATACATGACTCACGCACAAAACTTCGGGACACTACTTTATTGAATGTGGTGCTTTACTCTCTACTATACTAATTTATCCTGTCTTATTAAATTTTTGTGTTTTCTATCAAGAAGAGTTCAAGAATTAAAAAACGGTTTGAAGCTTTGAAAATTTATTTTAACTAATCTAAAAAGTGCAAAACGCTTCTAAAATCAGTGAACTTCGTTCAGATCGTGAATGATTTATTACAGTGTGAAATAAAATATTTGAAGGTGTTTGCGTAACTGTCCAAATAATCAAAAAATTTATTATATTTATTATTACATATGCATAAATCACTCTCAACTTTATTGACATTCTTTCATGAAAAATTTCTTTCGTTGCTATAATTTCTACAAAATTAGCTTCACACTATAGAATCATTTTAACCCAAATATTATTACGATCTTAAAATATAAATCAATTCGAGAAATCATCAAATAAACTATAACTCGAGCAGAAAGCGCAAACAAACACCACTTGTCAAAGCAAAACCTCGGAATAATTTCAAATTTAAAAGCGGCACTTTGGTCGGCCTCGTTCAAGGTCCCGCAACAGTGGCGGAACATAAACCGGGGCTTGAGGGCCTGGTTATTAAAAAAATATGCAATCTTTTCTATTCTTTAATTGAAAAGTTCCTCTATTTGTTATTTTTAAGTTTTTGTGTTCTGTTTTTATTAAAGCTGCTGTGTTGATTTATGCAAAGCAGTGGATAAATTAAAAAAAATAAGAATATTTAGAAATCGATAATATATTTCTCAGATTGAAATAGTTTTTCTGTTGAGTAATTAGTGTTCCGCCACTGTCTCGTGACCAAATTTGATAAGTCAAAATAGGTTGAGCGAAGAGGGCGATGGCGAATCCGCCGTCGTTTGTTTTGATTTTTTGCGTGTGACGTCTTCTCCGGAAAAGGGCGGAAAAGCACGAGCTTCGACGCTTTGACGTCGGCGCCAATATTCCAGTTTTGTTGCCGCGACTTTGTTGAGAGGATGTTCCGATGATTTTCAAATAGGCGCGTTCGAAACGACAATATTTTCCAAACAAGCCAGGCCACAAGAGGGCTCAGACCGGAAAAACCACAATTTTTCCGGCAGAAATCCGGACATTTTCAGTGAATTTGTTGTCATGTGTCATTCGATGTGTTAGTGATCAAGCGCGGAATTGTGTGAATTACGTTGAATTCTGATTAAATATTTAAACACGTGGATTGTAAATAAGCCGCAGCTGGTAAGTGGTTTCGATTTTTATTTTTATATTAATTCATTGATTTAGTATTCGAGCGGTTTTAAACCGACGATGTTCAAGAAACTATTTAATCTACCATTTCCGCTTTTGTTGATATGACATGATGACCAATGGCCTTATAAAGCTTGTTAAAATGAATTAAACTATTGTTTAAACCGATTTACATAATTAGATGCTGGTCCATAAGCTTTATTTTATTTTTTAAGTTAGTGTGATACACCTGTTAATCAATTGGTAAACCTGAGAGACATTCAAGAAGAAATTAGCGTTAATGTGATAGAAAAACAAAGCCAGATCCTAAAAGACTTTCAGGCTTTAATTAACAAAAGTGAATCGATTAATAAAATTGAACTTTTCGAAATTCAAATTGTTTGAATACTTACAAGAAATAATTTCATTAGATTTCCATTCACGTAAAATTGTATGGAATTAATTAAATTTCAATTCACTTTGTTAAAATAATCGATAAACTCATCTCAGTTTCTTTTATCTACTATTCAGATAAAATTTCGTTTTGTACTTTAACTAATTGAAATTCTGAGCCATAGTCCGACTTGAAAAATTGGGCTAGAAATTAAAAACGAATTAATCTTTATTTCATTAATTTAAATGGAAAAGAAACGAGTTTAATTCACTACTGTTTTCCCTATTAAATAAAATAAGGATCTAAACAGAATTAATAAATAATGCAACAATCTGTGTTTTTACATTACATAAATACTAAAATTTGTGCCTTTTTACAAAATCCCATCTGATTTAAAACTTGTTTTGATGCTTTGCTAATTATTCGTTTTATTTAAGTGTTTGGAACATTTGAACAGTTTGTGAGTTTAATCAATTCGCATCTAGAAATTATTCAGGTAATGGATGGTCAATCAAGTTCATTGCATTATAAGCAGTTGAATAACTATTTATCTTGAGTGACTAAACTGAGATATAAAGACAAGCAATTTGATATTGTTTGAAGTGCAAATGGTTTCAATTGTGGAATGAAATTACGTAAATGTTGAATTAAACATTGTGACTTTTTTATTTTTAATTATCCTTTATCACTTGTTGAAAATCATTTGCATTTCTGATAGTTTTTCTACTATTTTTGTCAATAAAACTCGGTGAAACGTTTTGCAAAATAAACTTTGACGAAGTCCTTTATATTTTTCTTGAGAGAGTTGTTTATTTGGCTGTGATCGGTCGTCTGTGTCGTAAGTATTGAATAAAATAAGGAAGCTTTGTGTTTGAAACGGATCTCCCGTAAAAGAATTGCGAGCACCCTTCCGAAAATAAAGTTTGATTTTTGAAAAGGCTTTCCTAATGAGGTTTTGTTTAAATTTGCATCCGAATGGAGGCCTAAATTCGGTGTTTAAGCGAAGAAAAAGCTTCCTATTGAAATTGCGTTAGAGAGGAAGCGGAAGTAATAGAAAGGTAGTCAAGAAGTTTGTCATATCTGCGTGCTTGAAATTCGTTTGAAACTCCATCTGAAACAATACTAGCGGAAATAAAATCGTAAAACAGATCCAGCTTGATGTCTCGACGATCTCGCAACGAAATAATTCGCGATTTCATTTGCAAAAATTGCTTTTGCGATTTGCAGGAATGTTTTATGATGTTAAATCTTCCAACCTTATTTATATTTTAGTAAGTCTATTCATATTTAAAAACGGTTTAGAATTTCTCAAGTAGGGCAACAGAATTGTAAAAAAAAACAGTGTAATGTAGTTGAAGCCGAGCCAAATGAACTTAACCGTCTCTTATCTTCGAGCGTGTTTTGAATTTTGACTTAGATTTACATTAATCTACATAAATATGGTGGGATACTTTCTACCTACGAAATTATTTCCACCTCTTCCTGATAGCGAGGCGCTAAACTAAATAATTACCCCGAAAAGGGACGCCATACGTCTTAAACTTCCAACGAATAACGAATAAAGTTTACTCATCTCCTTCGAAGCAATAAAACGAACAACCCATATGTTTATTTTATTTATCCATATAAAATGTTAATGGTAAAAGATTACAGATTACAGGATTAATTGGATTTTTGGACACTTTATTATATTTTGGTCCAATAAAATTGTTTTTTAATTTTTTATATGAATTTATGGTCTTACTGTAAAACTACTAAAAATGCTACCTAAAAAACATGGATTATTTAATCAATACTCGAATACAGTGAGCGGTCAAATTATGGAATAATCTTATTAAAATTGAAAATATTTTTTTTTTGGCAAAAATGCTCGAACAGGTCAATTTTCAACTTGATTTAAAATTAAATTAAATTAAAATTAAAATTAAACACTGTTTGAGTTTTGAATTATCACGTCATCGACATTTTTTGTAATGGAAACCCATAATTTTTTTAGCCAATTCGATAGATCTTTTAATTGTCGAAATGACAACACCAAAATATTAATTATAAGATAAAGTTTTCGAAAATTATCATCCAAAAGTAAAATAATATCAACAAAAAACAAACATACAATTTTAAATCAAGTTGAGAATTGTTTTTTAAAAAGAAAATTGAACTGTTCAAGCATTTTTGTCAAGCATTTTATTTTATTTAAAATAATCAGAAAATACAATTTGTGGTTTTTGTTACATTTTTTATTCAAGCTCTAATGCTGTTTGTCAAAAAATAATAATCGAGCAATAATAATTTTTTTGGAGAAATGTGGCCCAAAATTAACAAATATTCAATTTTAGAGGCTTGAAAGTTATTACTTACAACATAAACAGGATGATATTTTTAAATCGAAGATTGATGGCAAAGTGTTTATAATGGTTTTTTGTTTATTTTTGTACAAATAACAGCTTAAGTGTACATACCTTCGATTTAAAATAAAATTTATTTGTTGTGGTAGGTAGATATTTTTAATTGTTTTTTTTTATTTATAGAATAAGCGAAGTGCTAACTTCTCTAATCTTCTGTTATTTTTTTAATATTCTTCAAAAAATTGAAACTAAAAACAAAAAACAAGTTTGCATTACTTAATTCCACAAAAATGAAATAAATTCTACTGCTGTTATTTCCAAATTCGCATACCTACGGATAGTATAAAAAAATAATTGCAAAATTGCAGGATACCAATGATTCGCTTTTTGGAAAATTTGTTATTTTTTTTTTTATAGTTGTTATTAACGTTTTAGTAATTATTGAGATATTGTATCACTTTTTATGGGTCTCAGTGTTGTAGAATTTTTTTTTTAGAAACCATAAAATTTATCAAAAAGTTCCAATGACTTGTAGAATTTTATATTTTTATGTTTTGTCTATTAGTGTCCTAATTTATTTACAATTATATTTGCAACAAGGAACTCGAATCTGGAGCAGTTTTATCTTCCTTTCCCAATCTCAAGAAACTGTCAATTAAAGATCTTATTGTATTTAACACTGTCAAGTGCAGTAAAGCCGTTATCATTAGATTTCCAGTGAGTGAAATTGAATGTAAATGTATAAAAATTTCCCAAGTATTAGAGTGTTTACATTATGACTTTATCTGTCTGGGTTACGTCACAGACTGTGGTTGCAGTTAGAGTTATAAATCACTGATAGTCAATTTTTCCCGAAACTGTCTCTGCTTCCAATCAGTGATAACAAATCAATTAGTAATATTGTGAAATAATAATACCCTTATGAGACTGATGAATGGCGGAAAGAGGGTGTGCCGCAGGTGAACTTAGAGCATGGAGGCATGCAATTAGCAATCACAAATCAATCTGTTATATTTGATAATTAACAACATACGAACTCGAGGTTTTAGTGCTGCGGGCTGAATTGAATTGTTCTTAGATTTGATTGTTTAATAACTTAATAAATAAATGGTTATCAAAGGTAATCAATAGAATTAGAAAGTCGAGTGGCACTTGGTTTGTGTAGTGTGGCCGCCAAAGCGTTATTATTTCTTCCCTAAACAAATAATATTTACATACTTTCATTTTTGATAAGATAATCGTGTGCCTGTAATGTGGGTCCGAGTAAGAAAATTGTATTTTTATTGAAAATGAACACCTGTTAAACAAGTTACTTTATTACCTTATCCTCACTGACATTTCCTTAGCCTTTGAACTAAAACAAACCAGCATTCGTCACAAAGGCTCCGTTGTAAAACTTCCGACACGCAGCTACTGAACAGTTTTCCGTGTTTATTTATTGTTTTCTATGTGATGACAGATTTTAGTAGTAGAAAGTTGTAAACATCTCAATTATAATTATATGTTGTTTATTTCTCTTCGGGATTTTTTGACTCGAAATACAATGTCATTAGGAACGTGACAGTGATAGAAAAATAATAAAAGATGTTATCTCTAACAGGCGACAATAATGTTAAAGAAAGATTATCGATTGGGATTCGGAATTCTCTTTGTTACACCAACAATAAGAATTTTTACTATACATTTGATGTTTCTTTTATTTAATATCTAATTAAGGCCTTTCAAGGGTTGCGATAGCTTGCAAACGCAATAAAAATTCGAGATTCGAAATTTTTACCAAAGATGATGATAACACGTCACTTGTCTGCTATGAAAAATCGCTTATTTACTTCCTCTAACGATACCGATGATAATTTGTATACGCGATATCTTCGCTTGAGCTCTGCTTTTTATTTATTACTACGCCCAAACTACAATTTTTGCAAGTCAAGTTTTAAAAATAAAACGCTTTAAATAATGTAATTTTAATCGAAAAGCTGTTCCATGCTTTGCTTTATTTACGTTCTTACTGCAGCCAAATTATTTATGTAAAGGGTAGATGTAAAGCGAGTAAGTCAAGCTGGGAAGGATTCTTAATTTATTTTTAAAATTACTCATCATTGTTTATTTGTTTCTATTTTTTAGAAAAAGTAAAAGCAAATTTTATTTTTTTTTTATTCCTCAAACACGATGATTATTTTCAAATACGAAACTCCTGCATTTGTCAGACTATCAAAAAATACATTGTGCCGGATAACACACAAACAGAAAAACATTTTGATGTAAAATTGGTC